ATTGATCATAGTGTTGCTACTTGCAAGCATGCATCTATTAATTTTTGTTTAAGTTTTATATATGTCATGACTTGTGAATTGTGATCATAAATCTGATATGTTTCTCATATCATGACATCTTTTGTGGCAATGGTCTGATGATAAGATTGAAACTATGAATCTCTAATCTCTTAACCATGATACTCTGTTTCTGTTACAATCTTAGGGCATCACTAAGCTCATAATCCTTCAACCTAAATGACACATACGTCGTTAACAACATTAACAAGCATAATGCTAATTACAATGTTAAAGTCCCTATTTATAAGCAAATATTACTTAGTCTAGTCTTCTCTTCTTTCTTCATCCTCACGTGTTTCTTCTTCTCTACTAACGTACATCTTCATATGTGATCTATCTTGAGTACATGTTTTTTTTTCTTCTCCGCATTCATTAGCATACTCTTGTTGTTACTTGCGTTTTGATTGTTGTGGTACTAGAATTAGTTGTGGTTGCTTGCGTTTTGATTGTTGTGGTACTAGAATTAGTAGTGGTTGCTTGCGTTTTGATTGATCATCATAGTGTTGTTGCTTGCATTTTGCAGAAATATTTGTTTTTATATCTTCAGAAAAGATAGGTTTGATTTTTTTTCTAAGCTTTGTCTGAGACATTTGTTTTTATATTCAGTTGATTGTTTGCTTTTGGATTATAGAAAATCTCAATTAGGCTAACTCATAAACACAACACAAGTACACGATCAAAATAACACATTCGCTAAACACAAACCTAATTTTCAAAAAAGTTTTCTTTGAAAATGAGGGAACTAATTTTTGAGTGTTTAATTTAATAATTTTATTAAGGAGAACCATAATCCATATTTTTGAGGTTTCTCCTCAACCAAAAAAAAAACCATTAATTGCTTTTCTTGTCTTTATTTTTCTTTCTTTCTGTAATTTCATGTTAAAATTCTTTATAGGTTCTACTTCTTTTAACTACATACAAATCAAGCATAAGATAACAAAATATATCTTTACAAAATAAAGACATTTTTCCTCATCATAGTTATTGTTTTTAGTTTTACTTATATAAAATTTAGTTAGTTATAGTTGTAATACTAATTTTTATATATTAACTCTGTTATTTTTTTTTTGGTAGGATTAACTCTGTTAATTTTAAACCCAAAACAAAAACTAAAAGCATAATTACCATTTTTTTAGAACTTAATTTTGAAAAATAAACTAATTAATATGCATCAGCGTTTTAGTGAATCGGTGATGATCAACCAGAAATCAAAACATGTTATCAAAATTTTGTAGGTTCCTACTTAGAAAAAAAAATTAACTAGTAGCGTTTGCAAATATTTGTAAATGTAAACAACGTCCACAAATAATCGAAGGTCTCGTAATTACAAAGACTCGTTCTCTACATTAGTTTCAAGGTCTTCGTTGTGCTCCTCTTTCTTTCTTTGCTCTTCTTGCAATCTTTGGTCACTGAGTTTATGTAGAGAACGATTCTTTGTAAATAAGGCTACCAGCTACTCAAGAATAAACGATCATATGAAACTGTTTGTTCGAGCTTTAGTCGATGCAAAATCATGAATAACGAATTTACAAATAATGGCTGCTTTCACTTCTTGGATGCATAGATAGCTTAACCATCCAACCTCAGTTTTTTGAAAGATAAAATACTTTGAAATGTCTATCTTCGCTGAGGCCACAGTCTCACTGGTGTAATCAAAAGAATCAGATAAACAATTCAAACAAGTTAAGTTGTATTTACGAACACAGTATAATAGTTTAGAGAAGAAGAAGAAGAGTTGCATAAATCTCTTGTTCAGAATCAGTCGGTCCCAAAAAGATCATTGTTATCATCTTCACCCCACTGCATTCAGTTTCTTCGTTACCTTTCGCAAGCAATGGAGAATCAGATCTTACCAATGTATATGATAAACCAATGAATTGGTAACTATCTGTACATTTTAAACTGAATGACAATAGTCATCGACAAGAGAGCAACAACGATGGGATTTTTGAACCATGTCTATCATTTATCCTGATAAGCACTTTGTACTATGTATTATTCCATGGGTCGAGGTAGTTGCATAATAATCGATTTCTTAAAATATAAGCGACAAGAGAATGGTTGAGCAGGAGCTTGAGCTCTGCATTGTATTAATACAGATTATGCCACTGGATTCTACAATTTTCATCAGATTCTTTTTAGAAAGAAAATTAAAGAACCAGAAATCTGGTGAGTGCAAAGAAGGAACTGAATTTATGTGGCCTGAGACGTTTAGACCACTACCTATCTCTACTTCTATGCTCTGACCTTGATCCTGTTCGCACTATCTTCTTGGGGTCTGTGCTGGATCTAATTTTTTCTTCTCCTCTTTTGCCTCCTCCCTCGAGTATATTCTTAGCTTTCCCTATAGAAGCTGTTTCAGCTGGACCTAGGTTAAGCTTGTGTATATCTGTGTATGTCTCTTTACCTCTTGAGAAGAGTTCTTGGCTCTCTAATCGACTTGATGCTCCCTTGGAACTGCTTTCTTGGTCGAAGAAGAGGGCCTGGACGACCGTTCTTAGTGGCATCCTCTCATTTTTCACAGCGTGTGCACGTACCTCTGCAGACAATTTCTGGCAGTCAAGACTTCGGCATAGTTGTTTCTTCTCTTCTTTGCTTATCTCGGGATGCACCTGCCATGTAACCAATGTTTTTCAGTTCCAAAATACTGTATCCATTTTCTGTGCATAAAATGAAGTAAATTGGTGTGACTCTCAACTATAGCTAGTTTCCCTTATGCAGGCCAAACCATCTGATACCTTGAGATATATGTTAATCGCTTTGTAAAGTCTGTCATGGCTCTCGCGTGCAATGTCGGGCACTGCCTCAGCAAGAGACATGAATTTGGAAACTGACATATGGACATCTTGTGCGACTGCCTGAAGATAGGAATCAATAAGCTTTGCCACCTTCCTGATTGAATGCAGCAATTGACTGTTGTTACTAGAGTGATGCGCAGAAGACTGTCTTCTCCAGAGCATTAAAAAACTCTCAAGAATTGTAGCAACCAAGTCGGTATCATAGCGTCGGTGATGAGAGGATGAGTGTGAACGCAACAAGAGGTCTTCAAGAGTTGCCTCCTCGAGTTGCAGACCAGCTTTTCTAATCAACTCAGTCTTCGTTGTGAGAGATGCTCCCACAAAATTCGCTATGCTAACAAGTCTCAGCAAAAAACCCTCTGAAACCGACCCTTTATCTGCAGGAATCATATTCACAACTGTGTTAACAACACGCCGATGCCTCTCCAGTGCTGCTTCGTTTTCTTTAACTGAGAAACCTGAATGGCTGTTTGATTTAAAGTATGGTAACCAACGGCAGGTGTATACATGCAAAGCTTCACCAATGAGCTGAGGTGGCAGCGTGAAGGTTGACCTGGCTGCTGTGATAACACAGCGGAATAAGTCTAAGTCAAGGTCTGATATGTCTTCTGTCCACCAGTCTCTTGGAACAGAGTGGTGCTTTCTCTTTGCGTAGCCTGGTCGGGTGTATGTATGAGACCAGGAGACCTGCAAAACGAAAAAAATGATCAAATGGATGTGCAAGAAATTTTATCTTGAATCAAAGAGAAAATTGAATAAACCTCTGCTATCGGAGTTAGAATCTTCTCAACAATTGAATCTATACACTTTCTGATGATTCCAAGATTCTCACACCATTCTGGCAATTTTACAGTGGACTGCAGAGTGACAATGGAATCCTTCCAGCCTGGGAGAACGCAGGAGTGGAAAAAAGCTTCAAGCTTTGGTAACAGATTTCCCTTCTCAACAGAATCAGACATCCGAAGAAACTTGGAGGCACAGAGCACACTCACAAGGTTATGAGCACTGAGGTTGATAGTGATGCCGTAGCAGAACTTAGCACACAGCTCAAAAGCATCGGCACCCCCAGGTATGTCATTCAGCTCTATGGTAAGACTATCAGACTCCTCTGAATCAGTGCAAAGCCTTGACAACAGCCCACATTTTGGAACAAGAGAAGACTGCAGATAAATATGGGAAACCACTATAACATACATATATATGTGTGTGCTGCTATAAGAGAAATAAATTCATTGGAGACATACTCTGTGGAGATGATAAGTGGTGTTGTTGATTCTTATAACGAGATCGTTGGGTGAGTCTGTTATCAAAATCCTGCAGTGTAAATATTTTATTAGAAAAAAGCAATTTGGGAATCTAGAGACACAGAGATGAAGGAACAACCTTGAAGCATCTTGAGTATAGAAAGTGTCTGGCTTTGTCCCTATTTTCATGAACTTCATCTTAGACTTCTCTGCGTTCAAGATGAATGTAAAGTGATCAAAAACTTTAGGTCAAAAGGGAAAAGAAAGGAAGGGAATTAAAATATAGAGGCTGAAATTTTGTTATCTGTCTTGCTTAATGATACTAGTCATACCTGTAGTTTTGATACAATTCTGAAAAACCAAAAGAGTAAAAGAAACAAAAACAGATCAAGCAAAAGGCAACTGGTGTGCTCAAAGGTTGATGTGAGGGAGGAAGAAGGAGAAGACAGAGAGAGAGAGATAGAGAGAAAGAGAGTTGTGAAAGTGGTAATGATCAAATTGACATAAAGTGTTTGGTGAAATAAAAACTCAAGAGAGAGAGAGAAAAAGTTGAATGGCAACAAGGGTCCCGGCCTCATCACTTGTTGCTCCCCGCATGGACTCAGTCTCCAAATGGTGTCTGATATTTATTTCCTTCATACTCGTTTTGGTTTGAAAATGAAAACCAGAAAATTTGGCTCACTAACCTATCTGTCATCGAAAGTGCAAAGGTAGTGTTTCAGAACGTTACGCAGCATATCTGGTAGCGTTACAAGTTGGGAGTCTCTGACTCTATATGATCTCCTTGGAAGATAAGGTCAAAATTAAGAGGACAGAAAAGATGAAAGGAGGTAGATTGTGTGGGTATTAAAGGGTTTAGAAGTGGGTAAGTAAGTGTATCAAGAAAGTATCCACAACCAAAACAAATAAAAAAGCCAGACACAAGTGTCCTTCATGCATTCCATCTTTTGCATAAGGAAAACAACTTCTCACCAAACAGAAAGAAAGTGAGAAACAAAAGTGGGTCATTCACCTTTCCCTACTAGATTAATTACAAGTCAGTTTACTCTTATGATAAATAACAATGGACCACACTAGGGAGTTAGGAGCTGGATAGGCTTAACTTAAAAGAGAGTTTTTAATTTGGTTGCAGCACATATAGGTTTCTCTCTTCTTTATATTATCTATCATAAAGCAAAGATGCATGGATCCCCAGACAATACCTTCCCTCTTCCCTCCCACAACTTTAAAGCAGCAGAGCCAGATTTACTATTTCTTACAAGTGTTTTACTTGTTGTCCATTTCCCCTATGGAATCTCTGTTGTTGTGGGGGAGGAGGAAGTCAACCCACATCATTAGTGTGCTATTTTAATAATGCAAAAAAGGCAAAAGTGAAATAGAATGAGAGGAGAGGTATTTGAGTACAAATGTCCTCTTCTGATGGAATTGGTCTGCCTTGAGGAGAGAATTGTAAGTCTGTAATGGTCTAATCCAATGCACTCCATTTGCATTGGCCCTACTCAGAAACATCCAATTCACAATGAACAGCCAAAAAAGCTTCAAAGCTAAACAAAGAGAAGTTTAAGTTAAACACCACAACTACATTATCAAACGCATCCAAACCCTCATCCTAATGTTTGCAAACCGTCAAACTATAGTAAAAAGAAAGATACAAACAAACAAATCGTACATCTCGCAATGCCCACCCACTCCTAAACTCAAGTTTATGTATGAGTCAAGCCAAGTCAGAAGTGAATAATCCGAGACAAGTCGATTCGTTAAATATTTTTTTAGCTTTACAGCTTAGAGCTAGGAATGTTCAATTATGCCTCTCGTCTAAAATGTACATGAAAAGTCGTACCTTCTATACCCCCATTGGTCTTTTGATAGCGAGGAAGAAGAATTCCAAAAGATTATACGAAACTTCTTTGGTACCAATGTTTTCAAAACCAATCACAACAGCAAATCGCTTACATTCGGGGTCACCAGACGATCTGGATCAACCGCGGATCACTTAATTTCCGAACCACATATTAATATTCTATGATCATATTGCCATGAAATTTCTTCGGTTTTATCATCAAACAGCGTAACCCATTCAACCATTCCACTATTTGTCTCTTCATGATTTACTTCAATGGAAATTTCACATCGACTGAAAGTACACACTAAACTAGTTTAAAACAAAAACCACTACAGACTAAAAATCATTTGACTACACTAACTAATTCTACTATTATACAGAGATTTCGAGAATAATATCTCAACCAAAACTAACATGAAATGTGTTGGTGTTTGGACTTTGTACAGAAATGAAATCACTCTCTTTATCATGCGATTTATAGCTCTCATGGTAACTCCGGATTCATCGCTTATACCAATAACATTGTTGCAGGTAAAGAGATAAGAGGAGAGATCATATCTTACATAGACCAGGTATGGTATATGACTGTGTCCATTAGTCTTCACCACAGTACTTTTCTTCAGCGTCAAGGCCAATCTCTCGAAGCCAATGATCATCAAGAGTCTCACTCTCATCATTGTCTATCTTTGTGTAATCCAAATGTTGATGATCTTCTCCCGATAAGAACTTCTGTTGCACGATTGATGTGAACTCATCATATCTTGCATCTCCTTTGGCAGTAAGATTGTTGCCTTGATATAGTTCTGGTCTCTATCATGCAATGTTCCATTGATATCTGTAGCCTGAAATGTTCAACAAGCTACTATGTGAACGATGGTTTTGCACCACAATCTAGTAAACCACAAATTTATAATGAGATATTCATGATTTTGGAAGTTGTAACAAACACACAGCAAAAAAAAAAGAAACACAAGTTACCTCTTCAAGGCTTGAGCTAGCTTCTGTACTTTTTATCACTTTTTCATCTTCTTCTGATTCTTCAATCCTCCTCTTCCTCTTCTTTTTCATCCTCAATCTTCTCATTACCAATCCCATTACTCTCTGTAACACTTGATCTGTGCTGTGCCTCTCTAGTCTGAGTAACCAACTTTGCTTCCTGTTCCCATCATCAAGTATCTGATTTGGAGGTCAGGCTTATCTTCTTCTGCAGGTTTTTCAAGTCCCAATCAACTTTGTAGTCATGTTCAAAGCATCAAACTCAACAACTCATATACACTAAGCTCCGATCCATATGCTCTAAAATCAAAGCTAACAACAGCTAATATTTCAGCTCCAAAATCAAAGTCCAATTAGGTTTCAGTTTTTTTTTAATGCCCTACATACTCAATGCTTAGATGACAAAAAATTCCAACAACTCATCAAACTATATAGAATCCCGCATTGCCATGCTTGGAGCTAAATTGGCTTGCTGCAGCCATTGGATAAACATATCAATGCCCTGGAATGGGATGTAGACATTAGAGAAGAAGAAGAGTTGCATAAACTCGTATTCAAAATAGTCAGTCACCAAACAGATCGTCGTTATCATCTACTTCACCAACCCTTCTGCATTCAGTTTCTTCTTTATCTTTGGCTGCTGGCTCACTCACAGATGCCCATGAAGTGCCAACGGCCTTGGCGAGTGAGTCACCACCGTAGAGATCATCGTAAATCCCTCTTTTGGGACCCTTTTTTAACAACGTCATCGCTTCCTGGAGTCGATCAGTCACACCTCTGGTCCCTGTAAGAGATTTATCTTCCTTTTCTTTGCCTTTGGGTATCAGTGTCACTTGCACCAGTGATTCATATTTCCCAACGAGGCTTCCTTCTTTGACATTTATAGGCCCAGGTTCTGTTTCCACGTCTGCTCCATCTGACATCCCAACAACCTCAGCCAGCTCTCCTCCTATTTGATCCCTGAAGCTTACCCTCATTTTCTTCATCTTCTTAGCCACACCCACTTCAGATGCATTCCTCTCTTTTCTTTTGCCTAACACACAACCCAATTCTCCATCGCTTAAACAGTAGCGATTAAGCAAAGTATTGTATGCAACAACAGCTTCCTCATCAGAAGGATCAGGAGGTGGAGGAAGCTTAATATGGGCTGGTGGTGGAGGGCGAGTAAAGAGAGCCTCACAGTTCTTTCTAAGAATGTAGATTCTTGTGGAGGCAGCAAACCGTAACGATTGTCCCACTTCAAGCTCTACAGGAGTACTTTTTGTCAACCTCTCATTTGCAACAAACGTACCATGAGCTGATCCCAAGTCAATGACAAAGATGCTGCAACAAAAAAAAAGGACTCCTTTAAACAGTGGCCAAAGCAGTGATGAGGATTGAGTAGTGAGTAGCTAAATACAAACCTGCCATTCTTGTGGGGAACAACGGCGGCATGCTGGCGGGAAACAGACTGGTGATCAAGCACAAAATCACAAGTCTGATGTTGTCTGCCGAAGATATGTCTCCGTCTATCTAGATGAATCCGATCAAGGATCTGGCCGTCTTTCAAAACCTCCAGAGAGTAGACACCGGCACGAGGCTCGATAGCCCAGTCAGGGGGATGCCAGTTTGATTGACCCGCTCCAATCTGAGTTTTCCCCGGCAATGGCGCCGCCTCCTCCGGAGACAAAGGTTGAACCACTGGCTTCTTTGCTGGAGAAGGATTTGCTGATGATGATACAGAGAAAGGTTCCAAAGTTTGAGACTTTTTAAACCTGTCAAGACCAGATCTTCCATACATTCTCAAAACTCTAAAAGCAGTAAGCAAGCACTGCTTCACCCAAATTACAAGGATTTGTAGTGTGATCAGACCAGACTTTAGGGTTTCTCTATCTTTCTCAGTGTTCCCCTTTCAAAGATCGATGATCTACATAACCATATAAATTTACAACCTCAGTCCCTATACTTTATGTATTCTCTCAAAGATACCCGTATAAACATTTCGATTCATTTTAGTGAATTTCACATAGATTAGAAGAATCTTTACTAACATGTACCAGTAATGAACTGTTTATTCTGGTCAGTGTATGAGAATGTTTTCTGTTGGACAATAAGTAGCCACAGCATTAACAAGAATCTGAAGTTCATATAAATGATGAAAGAAGATCAGAGACTTCAGAGTCATGAAACAAATACAAGAATCAAAGTTATTCCCCCAACCTCTGGAATCAGAGGACTTAACCGACGAATAACACAAATCAACAACGAAGAATCAAATGACATAAACAGGAATTTCTTTTTCAGGGCTGAGAACTACTACTTCTGCCTCTTGTAGATCTTTGCCAAGAATGATTTTAGCACTGCTTGGATTGCTTTACTATTGTGAGCCTCTATCACTCCCGTCAGCTTCTCGTAGCTTTTGCTCTCATACTCCATGAACACTCCCTATATCATGTTCACATCCAAATTAGCAAATGTTAGCTGTGTTTTAGATTAGATCATATATCTCATGTTCCACTAGTTTCATACCTCGAGATCAAGCTCTTTGTAGAGATCCTTCACTTTAGCAACGTTTGATGGGTCGGGTTTACCATAGTTCTCCTAGAGAACAAATAAAAACATGTTTCAGATTCCAAATAGGATACAATCCTTTTGATAAAAGAAATAATGGTTCTTACATATAATATCTTAGTTTGTTCTTCGCTGCAGCGTTCTAATGCCTTAACCACCAACCACGAGCATTTGAAATCTTCTATATCCGTTCCTATCTGCATTATAAAACACCAATGTGCTGCATCATGTGAGAACAGTAATACATTAAGATCAGCCTGAGAAACCAAGGTTTAGCCAGAGTACAAACCTTGCCAAGTGTCTCCGGATCAGCAAAACAATCCAGATAATCATCCTACACAAAAGAAACGAATATTAACGTCCCCGCATTACTCTATCACACTGCTCTCATGAATACTTAACAGCAAACTAGTACCTGAACTTGGAAGTAGATCCCCATGTCAACAAGAACATTCTTCACATCAACATGGTTTTCCAAATTTTCACCCGCCATAACCAATGCACAAGCAACCTGAGTAGAAAACACAACTTGTCATGGAATCTACAATTGCAATGATGGAGATAATGATTGCTATATACTCTGAGCCCAAGTAAGGAGGGACAAAGTTCATACTCACAGGGAGATAAAATGAGTAATAAGCCGTTTTGTACTGGACAATACGCCGGTGGCTGCACATTGAAAACCATTTCATCAGGTCAAAACACTTACTGTCTTTCATCTCATCAACCATCAGAAAAAACCACACTTGACTCACATTGACAATGAGTACTTGGACAAATCCTTTTCGCCTTCAAAGGTGGTGATCAAATCTATCATCTGGCCACAAGCTGTTTGCATCTCAACCTAGACAACAAAAGGAATATAGACTAAGAATAATATTTCGAATATATTCACAGTTTGTGGACAGAGTGAAGTAGATCTGCGAAAATAAATTACCTCATTAAACAAATCAACGAGGTCAACATAGTAAGGCTTATCCCGGAAGTGCTTTTTGAGAATCCTGTGGATGTGATTGCGAAGTAGAATCCCATCGTTGATGGCAACCATACCAACCTGTAACAAAACATTGTATTAAGAGTACTCTGGTGGACTTAAAAACCTTGCAGCCTGAGGGAAAAAAAAATGAAAACTTTACCTGAGGAACTCTGAACCAGCAAGGTTGACCACGACGGGTGACAGAGTTATCCATAATGTCATCAAGCACAAGGAAATAAGCTTGAAGCTACAAAGATGAGAAACAGGAAGATGAGTGGAGGGTATCTATCTATCAATCTATCTAGAGATTCAAATGAAAGGGAGAATCTTTTTTATTCTTTCTTATATACCCATTCGATGCACCAACCGAGAGCACAAGAGAGGAAGACCTCTTGCTCAGTCAAATCTTTGCCTTCCTTCAAAAGTTTGAAGCTGTCAACAACGGAGAGACCACGATTGAGTTTCCCTGGAGAAGAGAACAAGTAAGGATGAGAGAAACAGAGAGAAAACAAAAAAAAAAGATATTAGAATCGATGAAAAGCGAGAGAGAGGCTAGTCGCTCACCTCCACGTACATTGTAGTCCAGCATCTGCAAAAGAAAGAGAGAATCAGCATATGATAGGAGATAAGAGAAGCGATCGAGATAAGGATCTGATGAGATTCAAACCCGTTCAACCCAGAGACGAGATTCATTGGTGAATTCGAAGGCAGGGTCGTGAAGGAGGTCGGACTTAAGAACGGAATAAACGTTGAGAAAGGTTGACTTGAGATCGGCCATTGAAGAAGAAGAAGAAGAAGAGCTTTGGATATGACGACGATAGAGACTGCCCCCACGCCTCAGATGCAAAGCTTTTATTGTCTTCCCGAGATTCCTACAACAACTACTCCAACTCACACTCATTCGTCCTTTTTCCAACCAAACACACCTTCTCTTTCTTCTTTATTTACTACTTTTGCCATCCCCCACCACCACCCCCAACACTATCGGACTGACTCGCTCTCCCAGTTTTACATTTGTCATGTCGAGCCAAAGAAACAGATAGATAAAGACTCCTTTTTTCTTCTTCTTTTTTTCTTTTTCTTTTATGATTCAAATTGGTAATGGGCCTTTAAAGATTGGGTTCGACCCCTACAATAATGGGCCTGTTTCCTATGGTAGGTAAGACTTCTGGGAAAGGAAAAGAAGAAGAAGAAATGAAATCACAACTCTTCTTGATCATAGGCCTCATCAGATATATGCTCTCGTGGTACACTACAGACTATAATCATTTAGCCAATTCTACTAGTGTACATAGAGATTTCAGGATTAGTCTCTCAACCAAAACTAACATGAAAATTGTGTGTTGGTGTTGGGACTTGTAAAGAACTGAAATCACTCTCTTTATATCATAAGATAAATAAGCTTTCATCTCATGGTAACTCCGGACTCATTGCTTGTACTAATAATCACCATTGTTGCAGGTCAAGAGATAGAGAGAGGAGAGATCATATCTTACATCATAGACCAGGTATGGTATCTCACTGTGTCCATTAGTCTTCACCAAAGTACTTTTCTTCAGCGTCAAGGCCAATCTCTCGAAGCCAATGATCATCAAGAGTCTCGTCATTGTCTATCTTTGTGTAATCCAAATGCTGATGATCTTCTCCCGATAAGAACTTCTGTTGCATGATTGATGTGAACTGATCCATCATATCTTGCATCTCCTCTGGCGGTAAGACTGTTGCCTTATTCTGTTCTCTATCTTGCAATGTTCTATTGCCACCCGCAACCTGGAAATTTTCGACACGCTAAGATGTGAATGAGGGTTTTGCACCACAATAAAGTACACAACAAATCGAAAATGAAATATGTGTGATCTTGGAACCAACACATAGCAAAAAAAATACAAGTTACCTCTTCAAGGCTTGAACTAGCTTCTGTAGGATCCTTCGCTTCTTCATCTTCTTCTGATTCCTCTTCTTCCTCCTCTTCCTCCTCTTCCTCTTCTTCTGATTCCTCCATCTTCTCATTACCAACCCAATCACTCTCTGCAACACCTAACCTCTGCTGCTCCTCTCTAATCCGAGTAACCAACGTAGCTTCCTCTGCTCGTCTCATCAACGTCTCTGACCAACGTTCTCCAGGCCTAGCCATGTTCCTTCCCATCACATCCTGAAATTTCCCGACATACTCATGGTGTAGATACGGCTCCCTGTCTCTCATAGCATCCTCTGAGAAATATTGTCCTTCTGTTACAAGCTTATTCAAGTAAGCCAATCTTCTATTCCTTATAGCTACAGACCTCGATTTAAGCTCTTCTGAGGTCGGACTGATCTTCTTCCGCAGGTTTTTTAAGTGCCAGTCAACCTCGTAGTCATGTTTCAAATCATCAAACTCAAGCAATTCATCTACATTAAGCTCCGATCCATATCGTTCTGAAGCAAAAACAAACAAGTAAGTTCAGTTCCCAAATCAAATTTCGATAAGATTTCAATCTCAAAAACGTACTACAGACTCAATGCTTAGATAATAATGAAGCTAAAACTCATCAGCCTATAAGATTTTAAAAAACCATGACGAAATCGGTAATAGAATCGATGGTATCACCAAAATTTCAAAGAATCAAACTGTAGAAACTCTTTCAGTTCCGAAGTCAAAAGAGCGATAGGGTTTAAGTCTAAAGCCGCAGTACTACACTCAATAAATTTCCACACAGAGATAACGAAATTGGAAATTTAATCAAGAATTTGAGCAGGATTAAGGAAAGTACCTAGAAAAACGGCGGGATCACGACGGAGGAGGTCGAGGAGGATGGATTTGCGTTGGTCAGAAGAGGCGGCGGTAGATTGGACGGCGCGTGGAAAGTAGAGGTTATCGAGAGACGAAAGCCTCGACGTGATTCCCTCCGCCGCCGTGTCTTTCATTGCTTTTCCCTCCATTGTTTTCTTCTTCTTCTCTCCCAATGCTCTTTTCTCGTCGACTCGACCGACCAGAATGCTGTTAAATCGTCTCGTCCACGTGCTGGTCACGTGAGCAGACGTTAGGCGGTTTTCATTAGGCACCTAATCAAATTAGGCCTGTTGGGCTGTTTTGGGCCTTCCTTCCCGATCAATAATAAATTTTGGTTTATTCAATTCGGTTTGATCGGTTACGCTATCTAAGTCTGGTTTGAGTTCAATTTTAACTTCATTTCTAGAAATTCTAAGCAAATTTCCTCTGTTTGAGGCTTTGAGCATATCAATTTGTTTTTTTTTTTTTTTGTTAATGTAAGAATAATTATAAACAATAGTAAATTTTAATCAGGAATTCTGATTTTGTATTAATCTTTGGTAGAAGTGTAGAACACTACAACTTAATAATATTCAAAAATGTTAAGAAAGAGAGAGCCAAAAGTAATGCATTACATGTAATTGAAACACATAGAATAAAAAATTCCAAGGAAATAAAGCTCGATCCTGCTATGTAACATTTTTTGGAATCAATCTTGTTCATGTTCTTGATCTTGGTCCAACCTACGACTTAGTCTCTATAAACCAGCTTCCCTTGTTTCTTCATGTTGCAATCTCGTCCACTTCCGAGTGAAAGACAAAACTCGGAAACGTCGTGGTTATATCCCTAAAATTGAGTTTTCAGTCCTCAAGTTTGGGAAACAGCACCAAATAAATCATAGTATCATAGCAAGGAGACACACCTGAGATACGGAAGAGTCATGATTTTAAGCAAAGATGGGTTTTTTATAACGAAATTGCTCCATTCTGTCTTATCAATCTTTCCATCCCGATCCACATCTGCGTCCTCAAATGTCTGTTGACGAAAACAAAAAGGCTCAAGTTTTCTAAGAAGTGCCTTTGTTTTCACAAAAATCAAAATTGTAACAGACAAGAAGTAAACCTGATCAAGTATCATCTCTATTGTATCATCAGCCAGTTTCATTTCCGATTCACAGAGAAGCGCAATCAGCATTTGCTTCACCTGCCAAAATGGCATACAAAACTATAATTTCCAAGAAATGATGCAGAACCAATTGTTAAAGCTTATAAAGTCCTTGAAACTCAACATGTTGAAATATAGATTGTTTTGGAATGACATGTGAAGATACAGGACAATTTTTTACCTCTTGGCGCTCAATGAAGCCTGTGCAATCCATGTCGTATAGCCTAAAGGTAACTGAGATCATAGATACAGACCAACATGAATAAAAAATAACAGGAAGGTTTTAGATGTAAACTCGTTAATGGGTCACCTTAGTACTTACAATCTGTTTTCTCCTCTAGAGAAGCATTAGGATGGAAAACATTGAGTGATCTCACAAAGTCTCCAAAATCAATGACGCCTTTTCGTTTGACATCAAACAAATCAAATATCTGCAAAAGTGGGCATTACCATTTAGTACATCTACAGAAGCAAACTTTAAGATTAACTACAAAGTTATTAATGTCAAAGAAACTTAAGATGTATACCCTATTGGCAAACAAATTTTCCTTCTTTCTGTTCTTGAACAAAGCAAGTTGAAACTCTTCCTGCAATACAAGTTGGTCGAGAAATAAGTAACAATATCCAAAAGTGGGCCAAAGAAAACTTCAATCTTCAAAACCAAACAAAATTTTAAAAAGAATTAAAATTCATGTCAACTATCAACACAGAGACTTGATGAGCAATAAGGAGCCCACAGCTCAGCATGGAGATTCAATTATTTCTGAATTAAAAAATGGTAAAAGTCAAGAAAGTTGACTATGGCATATGGATAATAGTGCAATGAATATATCATGTCACTGTACATGACGCTTTCAAGATTCTCCCATGAGGTGCCAAAGAATCAAAGGCAATCTATCGATTATGAATACCTTGTTTATCAAGCCATCGTCAACAACCGAGCTGCTTATGCTCTTGAACAATTCATACAACGCTTCAACTTCACTTACACTAACTAGAGAAAACAAAGAAATATAATAAGCCACTCTGTGAGAGTAAAAATATCAAGATCATGTCAATTCGTAAAACAAAATGTAAATTGCAGCAATAAACAATGGAAAAGAGACTCTTCCTGAAAACTGTCTCGGATCAAGATTGTTTCGAAAATTGAAGTAAACTATAGTGTTGATCTAAGAATCTATTGACATATCATTTTGTGATAAGTGATAACCTAAGCAACAATTTCTGAGTTAAATGAAATTTGCAGATTATAACTAAACCATTTTCTTCAGGTTTCTCGGACTCAAAGAATGCGAAAACAGATTCTCATATCAGCAAACAATGACAAAAGAACGATTCTCTAAGCTCATACTCTTAAAAATTAAAAGCCAGGGAAGAGAAAAAGAAACGTATAGCGCAAGTAAACTTACAAGCAGTCTCAGAAGCAAGCTTGACAGGGTTCTCATGTCCTGGAAATTCTCTCGCAGCCGTGGAATGGAAACAACCCATTTACAAATGACTAGTTAAAACCAAGAAGAAGAAGCTTGTCGCGGGTTGTTGAATAGAATCGCTAATTCTATAATTTTTGAGAATGTAAAAAAGCTTGATCTCTGATATTACTCGCCACCATCATAACCATCTTTAGAATCTACACATATTCAAGAGAAAAAAAACAGAACCACAGAGATATGAATTAAAAGAGGAACAAGATGATAGATCATTGAAACAAGTATAAACCCTAGAGAGGAAAAGAAAAAGTAGCAGCGATGCGGCAAATCGAATGAGATAACAAAAATTTCAATCAGATTAACAAAAATAAAATTTGAATAGTAATCGGAAATTAAAGAGGTAATGTAGCCGCGGCTCGAGAATCTCGGAACCCAGAAACTAAACGACAAACTCCGGGAAAACAAAAAATATCGAATAGAGAGCACTTACCACCGAGAGAACGGGCTCGCCGGCTCGGTGAAAGAAAGAGAGGAAGGGATTTTGATTTTTGAGAAACGAGAAAGAGAGAGAGAGAGAGGCGAAGAAGAAGATCTGTGACGATGGTAGATGAATTGATCGGACGGTTGAGATTGACTTCAGACTTTGCTGGGCTTTTTTTTTTTTTTGTTGGTTCCTCAGAGGCCGGTTGAGAGAAAATTATGAAGCGCAGATTTATTTATATAAATAAGATGAGCGTCGCACGTGTTAAGCTTGTAACGCGTGTGAAACACATCCTTGTTGTAATTTTTTTTTTACCTCTTTTTTCCTACCTAACCCATTTTTTATTTTATTTTTTACAGTGTGGGAAACAAAATAAGAAAACCATAATTGTTGTTTGACATTTTTACTTTCAAACTTTTAAGTTTCCTTTTTTTATTGGTCAAGAAACTTAATCATTGTGTGAAATTTTCTTACAATTCTCTAATGATTTTGTTTTTGAAAGAAATATGTTAAATATTCAGACTGGAATTTGTATTTTATGTAAATTTATAGTTGTAAACAAAAAATGTGTGGAGAGTTAATTAATAGTTTTAGAATCAAGATTTAACATACTCAAAAGAATATACTAAAGAATGATATTTTATTTGAAATACCTAATAATAATATTCAATTTGGTTCTTTCATTTTCATAATCCATACAGATGTCAAGCTCTCATAATCTTCAAGATCTTGTAATAAAGTAAAATTTATTATGATAAACCAACTAGCAAGGGGAGGGGATTAGCTAGCTTAGTTGTATAATAATCCCCTATATATAATCAAGATTCATAGAGTGTGTTTTCATAATAATTTCGATTATGGGTCATATACCTTTTGGGATAAACGAAGGATTATAGTAATAATTTTGGTCTCATTTTAGTGGTCTAATCAAATCACGTACGCCATACAAAATTCCAATAGTATAATGTTGGTCTAAATAAACAAAATGGATTAGTATCATTACTTTTTTTATATATCCATAAGACATGATCAGATCATGCATATTAATTATCTAAATTTGAAGCTAGCTAGGTACGTATGCCATACAAAAATTCAATAATGTGATCCTATATTTTGTTGGTCTAACTAAAAAAATGGATTAGCATTGCTTAGTTAAGACATAGTCAAACTATGCATGTTATATAAATTTGAAACTGAGATTCTGTCTCAAATAAATTTTGTTTATAAAGTAATTTATAGGACTTGTGGATTTAGAAGAATATCAAATTGCACGGTCGTATTTTTCCATCTTTCTAAAATCCAAGCAAGAAGATATATATTGGATTATTTTCCACAACAACGATACAAATCTTTTACGTGAGATTTAATTTTAATATATATGTAATGTATTTTTTGTTGAAAATATATATGTAATTTTGTAGAAGTAAGAAACAAATATTAGAAGAGTAATCTTTGTACAAAAAAAAAGAAAAAAGAGTAATAAGAGATAAATATCTACTATATATGTTGCTTACAAATTTAAAAATATTATTGTTAATTTGTTTCAAGAATTTTATTGTTTATAATTATTATGTCATTCGAAATTATTTTTAATATTAAATTAATAATACATTCTTATAAGAAAACTTAATAATTTTTAATAAAAATGATTTCTTATGTATACCTCCTAAAAATGTAAAAACGGTCTCTACAAAAATTAATATCTGGAGACTAGCTGGAGGCTGCAAATTACATTGATGCTCTTCTTACACTTGTAGTATGAGTAATGAGGCGAACGCTATAAATACAATGCTCAAATTGTCTTTTTAAAAAGTTGAAAAGATTAGAAGTTTTAATGAATCAATAAGGTCTAACATTTATTTTTAATTTTTTTTTTTATAAACGAATATTAGTATGGACTATGGACATATGGAAAAAAATCGTATATGGTGTTAGTGGCTATTTATATCAGTATGGTCCAGGAAAAAAAATTATACAATTTCATTTATAAATGGAACTTTATAAAATCATCACATATGATGTCAACAAAAAAGAATTATTCACAATATAAAATTCTTAAGATTTTAAACCTAAAAGAGATAAACTTTTAATATTTGCTTGTTATTGTAAAGACTAAAGAGAATTGAAAAAGATCTGTATCCAAAGGACCAAAAGATATTTGTCCAAAGGTTTCTATTTTCTAATAAAGTTGGGCCAATGGTCCAGACAAGTGACAAGTGACAACAGTTGAAGCTAAAATGGTCCTTTTGTACATTAAACTGAGTCAAAGTAGTTGCGGTAATAAGCGCAGAGCAATAATGTCTCAAGACTCTAAAGTACATACGTTCACACAATGAAACCCAAATTCCATGAACACGTCCAAAATTGTAGTTGATTTTAAAACAATGATGGTTGGTTTCAATGAAGATCAAACCATGAAAAAATAGAAAATTTTAGAAGACTATGATAATGCATGACTCAAACACACCTATCTGAAAGCATAAAAAATCTCCCATTGATCATACTTATCAAGCGTCAAAACGGAATAGGTCTGGTCTACAAGTCAAAGACCTTTCCTTAATTTTGACACATTTTTCTCTGTGAACTCTACTTCATAGAGATTTTTTAAAGCAGAAAGATTACAAATCTGATGAAGATCAGTAGTTCAGTAGAGAGAGAGACTCTCACTGATTCACAGATTTTTCTTACTCATAAACGAAAAGAGGAAAACAAAAGATGCAAGAACTTGTTCACTTCTTTGAAGAACCTGTTGTTGAATCTGGCTCTTTCCATGCCGCTTGCCATTGCTTGTCATATAACGTTGTCTCATCGAACAGATCCTTGAGTTTGTCTAAATCTTCGTTCTTGCGGATGAAAAGAACTCCAGCTACAGACACAAACAAGAGTGTTTTGCAGAAGAAGTTCCCCATTTGATCAACAAGTCCTACTCCGGTAAGGCTATCAACAAAGTAAGCCATAAAGAACCCTATCATCGCAGCACGACCTACACCACCAACAAACAAACCATTAAAAAAAAAAAACACTTCATGTCTCAGTTGCAACTGTTTAGTTGTACTAGCTAAACTCACCATTGAGAAGTTCAGCTTCAGGTAGATGGTATCTCTTCATCCATGCCCACCATGGAATAATCGAAGTATCAAACAGTACAGGCTCGTCGTTAGTAGTTGTTTCCGGGTTATCTTCAAGCCATTTTCTCCTCTTCGCCTCTACAATTAAATTATCAGCACATCACATTACACAATACTAACTATATATTACAAACCAAAGCAGAAAAACAGAACCTTTCCTAGTAACAGAACATAAACAAAGATCAAGACTTCAAAGAATCTGTATATCCTAGGATTAAAGACATTATCATGTAGAATTGAATTAAAGTGTTTTAAGGATCTAACCAGAAACGATTACAGAGTCCCAATCTGTTTTCCCATCTTTCTCAAACTGTTTCAGATCCCAAGTTCCATTAACCCACTTCGTGTTCTCAAATTTGATCACCGTTGTTGTGGTCGAATCAGTCTCCGCAGCTGCAACGGCGCCGTTTTCAGAAGCGGAGGAGCTCTCCGCCGGAGATTTCACCGGAGCTTCCTTTACAGCTACAGAAGTAGGTTTCGGAACCTCCGAGACGGTGGCGGATACTGGTGAAGTCGTGCCATTGTCAGAGGAAGCTCGAGTGACGGAGACGAGGGAGAAACGTTTGGTGGAGAAGAGGAGAGAAGATGAGATCTTGGGGATGAGGTTAGGGTTTTGAAGTGATGACGAGATCGGTGGAGAGAATAACGCCATGGATATAGACATAGATCTCTCTCTCTCTCTCTCTCCTCTGCGCTCTGAAAGTTTTGTATTTTCAGAGTGAGTTTTTGAATGTGTGGTTTGAAATGAGAGTTATGAAGGAAGTGAAAGAGATGTTGTTATCGTTAGAAACTTGGATTGTATGTCGTTTTCGTTTTCTTTAATTCTGTTTAAGGAAAGAAACTACGTGATGTTTTCGTTTTATAATCGTCATAAAAAATATCTATTTAATGGGCTTTTATGTTTAGCGCTCGGCCCAAATAAAAATAGAATTCAAACCCAACTTAAACCAAACTATCTCGACCCGTGATGTACGAAATGACGAGACAATTCGAAAATGTCCTTGGTCTTTTCTTTTTGTAGTCAGAGTCTTTAGTATTTTATTTTTATTGTACTTGTGATGTGAAATATAATAGAGAAAGACAAAGAAAAGTCTTTGTAAGTTTCTACCCAAAAAGTAAAGTCTTTGTAAGTTAACAAATAAATCGATTAGGAGATTTTCTAAATAAACTGTTATCCAAACTCCAAATTACATTATTATCATAAAACTTTGTGATGCGATGGTCTGTTCATAAATTGAAAATAACGTCTGTAAATATTTTTGACACGTCTACAAGATTTCTTAGAGCAACTAAAAGTTTTAAAATATGTATTCGAGCAGAAAAATCTGATGTGGACGACTCTCATTGGTTGGGATGACGATTTTTAGATATTTTCATTTGCTTCGCGGCAAAGTCTCAACTCTTTTAATACGACGGACGGGTCTCAATGTTTCAAGAACTTTCCAGAACTACCCTTGTCTAACACGTGTGACGACCGTGTAGTTTACATATAACGCATCAAGGGTAAAATCGTCAAGTTCTTCCCTAATCATTAGGCCCTATAAATTACAAATTCATTATTTCAGTAAGTAATTTTCGTTATCGATTTTCTCAAGTCAAGCCAAAAACAAAACAAAAAAAGCCATGGATGCGTTCTCTTCCTTCTTCGATTCTCAACCAGGTAGCAGAAGCTGGAGCTATGATTCTCTTAAAAACTTCCGTCAGATATCTCCGTCCGTTCAGAATCATCTTAAGCGGGTAAGTTTCTTCCTCGCCGATTCGACTCATCTCTCTCACAAATTGTGATTAGAGTCTAGATTGGGATAAGTTTCGTTTTCGTTCTATTATTGATCGATCTGGTTATGGCGAGTGCATCTTAATTTTGAGGATTTGGTTTCGGATTGAACGAATCGTTGCGAGCGGTGCTTTCTATGGATTTCTAGGGTTTTCAATTGCGTCGGTCTATGAATTCGCTGGTTAATACATTACTTGCTATATGATTGTTTTGAGAGTTTCGTTGTTCTTTAACCCGACTGTTATGGTTAAGATAGTCTTGTTCGTTTCTCATGGTTCTCATTAGGGGAATTTGATTTGTTGATACTCACTTGATTTGGTTCTCATATATTGTGGTGTTTTTGTAGGTTTATTTGACATTGTGTTGTGCGCTCGTTGCGTCTGCCTTTGGAGCTTATCTCCATGTGCTCTTGAATATTGGTGGTCTTCTTACAACTTTTGGATGTTTTGGAACTATGATTTGGTTGCTTTCATGTCCTCCTTATGAACAAGTAAGTGCGCTTAATTTACTCTTCTCTCTGTAATTGTGTTGAAGTTTCAGTTTTGTTGACATTGTTGTTTCTTTGGATGTAGCAAAAGAGGCTTTCTCTTCTGTTTATTTCTGCTGTTCTTCAAGGTGCTTCAGTTGGGCCCTTGATCAAAGTGGCAATTGATGTTGATCCAAGGTACTATGTTGTTATGAATCAAATCTTTTGTCATTTGATATTTTGGATGTTTAGTGTTCGTGTTATAATTATCTGTAAAAGTTATCCAAGATCTGACATTTATATATTTCTTTTGGTTCTCCAGCATCCTCATCACTGCCTTTGTTGGAACTGCGATAGCATTTGTCTGTTTCTCAGCAGCAGCAATGCTAGCAAGACGCAGGGAGTATCTTTACCTTGGTGGACTGCTTTCATCTGGTTTGTCCATGCTAATGTGGCTTCAGTTTGCCTCTTCAATTTTTGGTGGCTCTGCTTCTATTTTTAAGTTTGAGGTAAATCAAACATCTCCTTTTCGCAAAGATCTTTTTTTTTTTTATGTTAGTTATCTTAGTTTCGCAGACATCTAACACTTGTTGTTATTCTTTCTTGGTGGGCAGCTATACTTTGGGCTGTTGATCTTTGTGGGATACATGGTGGTGGATACACAAGAGATCATAGAGAAGGCACACCTTGGCGACATGGACTACATCAAACATTCACTGACCCTCTTTACTGACTTTGTAGCTGTGTTTGTTCGGATTCTCATCATAATGGTAAGTTCATAAGTGGCCTGATATTAGAACATGGCATTTGATCTGTTAGTAACACCTCCCCATTGATGTTGGTTTTTTTTGGTTATGCAGTTGAAGAACTCAGCAGATAAAGAAGAGAAGAAGAAGAAAAGGAGAAACTAAGACTCGAAAATGGGAGAGATGAAAGTAAATAGAGTGAGTGGTTAGAAGTACCTGAAAGCATTGTAATGGTGCTTTACATGGTCATCATGTTAAGCCACTGTGGTGTTTTATCTGTCAGGACACTTATTTTGTGCAACATTTTCCTACTTAAAAAGGATTTGTTTGTTTTTCGCCCTTATTATAAATATTAACTTGAGATTGTAAATGGCCAGAGTTTTCCAAATCTTAAGCTATTTCACATTCCTTCGATGTTGAGGACTATTGATCTGAGGAAACTATGAACCTGGTTCCTTAATTTGTTAAGTACGGTTCAAACCGGAATCTACAACTATCAAGTGGAGGAGCTATACACGCCGAAACGAATCTTTTCACGATAGTAGAATCGCCACAAAGGAAATTGTGAGGATAAAAAAACAAAACGATTTTCGAGATCATTCATAATAAACTCTTGATATAGTTGTTGTTGCGTTTGTGCTGTTGTGGTTGTGTTTTTATTAGCAGGAATATATGAATTTTGTTAGCAGATGAACACCGTGTGATAGGCTTCGTTTTTATTTAACTAAGCACTAGTCATGCCTTGTCTTTTGTTCTTTTTCAGCCTTATCACAACCATACATTAGTTCAATCACCTCATAAGTCATATCCAACGTCCGGTTATAATGTATGCTTTTTACATGGTCAAAATCGGTAAGCGTATAGAGACAGAAGAGTAACTATGGTAACTCGAGAGAAACTCCAAAGAAAAAGGTGAAGGGAAGTCTTTGTAAAATAAATCTATATGAACCAACCAAGATTTATAAATGGAACGTTCGGAGAAGGTTAAAAACAAATGCCGTGTTGACAACTCTTATTTGCTTCGTGGCAAAGTTTCAAGTCAATGCGACTTTACTGATTTTGACCCTTTTTTACTGATTTTCTAGCTGTGTTTGTTAGGATTCTCGCTTGACGACTGTAAGTTCATTTGCTGCTGATATTAACAAATGATGCTTTATCTGTAGTTTGAGAACTTGGCAGATGAAGAAAGAAACTGAGACTGAACGTGGTAGCAGTGAAAGTTATTAGACTGAGTGTTCGTTCAATACCTGAAAGCATAATGGTGATTTTATTACGTACATGGTCAATTTGTTAGGTACTTAACTTTGGTGTATTCACTAGTCAGGACATATCTTTTGGTGACAGCACATGTTTCTCCACTTTGCATAAAATATAACCTTCACATTGTAAACGGCTAAAGTGGTTTTAAACTTGGTTTTGTTCTTTTTCCATCTCTCAAGCTTTTCTTAGTCCGTAGCTATTTAGATGTATTGCACCTTACTTTTGGATTCTTAATTCGCATTAAGCCAAAAATATTAAGTAGGAAAAAAGTGAAAATCCTATACCTATAGCTAGAAGCCTAGAACCAGATTCTTCATATGTTTTAAGGTAGCAACTAGCAAGTATCAAGCATGGTTCAAACGAGGATCTGAGTTTCACTTAGAGGAGAGGGTGAATGAAACAAGTCTAATCAAAGTTGGAGAGTTTTAAGTAGATGAAATACCAAAAGTTATGGACATTTTGAGTTCTTTTTATTTTCTTGGTAAACCAAGAAATATCAGAAAAGAACTACGAACTAATATTTTAAGATGAAACATTTTATCTAATAGTTGTCATCTTGTGCTGTAGTGGTTGTTGTGTTTTATTAGCATGATTGTACGAATTATAAGCAGGATCATCTCATATGGTAATAGTAGTAGTACTGTATACTTTGGTTTTATTTATTTAAGCACTAGCTAGTACTACTACTCGTGCATTACCTTTTGCTATTTATATAAACTTATCCCATCCATTATAGTCTCATCTCCTCCTTCTGATGCGTAAACACAAATTAAAGTGGATCCATTTAACCTCACGAGTTATAACTATGTATTCGTATAGAAATCATATAAGTTGAATAATAGAAGTGATTACTAGTTTCTTTATTCAAATCAGCAAATGAAATTATAATACGTTTTGGGACACTTTAATTATGTGGTTTTAATATTGTGTCTATTGCGTTGTTTTGTTTGTATACGATAATTTTTTCCGATGTAAAGTTTGTATACGATACCATGCGAACACTTTTCATACGTTTAGGTTTTCTTCCATTGTTTTTCTTTTCATTACATAATTTATTTTGCTATTATATGATCTGGTGTGTTAAAATTAGCTAGTATATATATTTTTAAATAAATCCTTGATATATAGATATTTCTAAATGTGAAATCAATCAGATTACATGTGAATTTTTATTCCTCCATTATTTATGTTTTGGTATTTCGTTCTTATATCATTTTCTAATAACTAGTAGATTAGTATTTTATCCTCTAAAAAATAATCCCATGGTAAAAACTATTAATCAAACACAATCTTATTATATAAACATTGTTTTTCTGGTATGTCTATAGGGAAAAGTAGTACTATTATTTGATAGAGACTCAACATTATATTTGGAGTTACGTAACAATAATCACAGTTTCCTACAATTTGCTTTTTCTTCCTCCAAATAAAAAAAAAAACCTAACTTAAATATTTTTAGATACATCTCATCTCATCGCGAGTAACATGCCACAATTTCACCAAACCTCAAAAATTATGTGGATCTTCTTGGTTCATGGGTGATTATTGCATATTATTCTTTTTTTAAAACACGAAAAAAAACTATATAGTTAAAAAGAGAAGAAAGATATGGAATATTAAAATAAGCGAAGACAAGGAGATAATTAGTTCACTAATCACATTCACAAAACCACAAATGGTGGGGACCCCATCATTACAAATTTACAAATACTTTAAAAAAACCAAATCAAACGGTGCAAAGAAGAGAGAGTTGTGTCCCATGATCATCGTCGTCGTCGTCATTACGGCCAATGACTTCACATACCCAATTTTTATTTTTCTTTTGTATTATAAGTTTACCAAACGTCATGCCATCGCATACTTTACAACCTAATCTTATTAACCTATATATACTCTTATCTTTCTTATCACAAAATACTGCAGTATAGATTTATTATTATTCTCTATAATATCATATATTGTATACGTTTTAAAAAGTTGGCAAAAACTGTTTTATTTCTATTTTCTTGATATCTTCTCCATATTGGCCTATTTTTTTCAACATGTTCTTTACTGAATTAATACTACTTTAAAACTATATTTTATCCACACACACAAAAAAATCAATGCATACTGAAAATATTACCATAATAAACTTACCTAATGTAAAACAAAGAAATGAGATTGACATTAGTTTAATTGCAAATATACACATGTCATACACATATAAGTTAGAGAAAATAAACTTACTTCTTTTAATATATCATACTATTTTTTAAAAATCATAATTATCTATATACATTTGTTTTCTCATGGTTGTTATTTATTTTCTAATGTCACAATTAAAAATGAGTAATATATATAAGGATGGAAAGAAGGAAAAAAATAAACAAAAAACAAGAAGGAAAAAGTCTAGAGTCAACAAGAAGGAACCATAAGGTACAAGCAAAATTATATTCCCCTCATCCTCTCACTTTCTCTTAACCATTTGAAGGTTTCTTCTCTCTATTTAATTAATTTATTGAGATTATTATATATATAACTCACTTTATATTCATTAAATAAATGTATTAGAATTATGGAAAAATATATTAATTAATTTATTGAGATTATTATATATAACTCACTTTATATTCATTAACTAAATGTATTAGAATTATGGAAAAATATATTGTTTTCATTTCATTTTTCAGAGAGATTTGGACACATGTAAAATGCAATTAATCTAATTTAGCTAATATTAATTAACTACATTAATAACAAAATTGAAAAAAGAAAACTCATTTTTGGTAACTAAGTAATTAGATAAATAAAAAATCTATTAAGTAAAGTAAAACATTATATGAAAAAAGCTAAGTAAGGAGAAGAAGCTGAAACATATTACCTTTCATTATACATACAAAATTACAAAATACCAAAATTAATAAAAGAAGAAGAAGAAGAAGAAGAAGAAGAAGAAGCCATTTTAATTATTTTAACAATTTAAACCCAAAAAACAATCACTTCTCTATCTCTCTCTCTCTCTCTCTCTAAAACCTTCACCACTTTCTCTCTCTTTCCCTTTTTCACAGCCATTTGTTAGATTCCTCTCTCAATAAGTCTCTCTTCTCTTTTCTTCTCTATTGGATTTTTATTTTCTTGCATTTTAGAGTGATTAGCTCAAAGCCACAAAACCCATATATAATAAACCTTCTCTTTGATTCCGGATTTTGAATATTTTTCTGGGCTGGGTTCTTGTTTTTTCTTTTTTTTTTTTCTCTAATTTTCTTGGTGGAGGTTTTTTTCTTTCACTTTCTTGTGTTTTGTTTTCTGGGTTTTTATTTGGCTTTCTTCTGCAAACATTTTAAAACAAAAAAAAAATTGGTTTCTGGGTTTTTTCTTCGTAGAGAAGCTTCCCAAAACCCAGTCCTTTTGTATAGCTGAATTAGTAAACAAGCTTTGAAAAAACTCAATTTCACAAAAATCTCTGATTCTTGTTGTGAAAAATTGTATAATTGTTGAAAAAAGAGTTATATAATGGGGAAGCAAGGGCCTTGCTATCACTGTGGAGTTACAAGTGAGTTCTTGTTTCTTCAATTCCTCGATTTGATTTTTACTATTTGAGAAATTTGACTATTCAAGAACTGTGATAATGCAAAACGTTTATTGGAGACATGAACAAGATTGAGCATTTTGAAATTGATTTGTGTCTGTGTTTATGATCACAAGAACACGTTGTAGGGTCCTTTGCTTGGTTTTGATCACTCTTATTGAGCTTTGAATGTTAATCAAATGAATAGTTTTGGAAAATTAAGATTGTTGTTTGTGTCTGAAATGCTCAGTTATGTTGAATCAAGACTCTAATGTTAGCTCTGCTTTGATGTTAAGACTTGTTAGAATTGTTTTGTCTTGAAAGATCATTGTTCTTCCTGCTTATGAGTCTTTACCTGATACAATGAAATATGCTGTCATGAGGAGAATGTGAAATTACTTGTTGTTGTTGATATTGGGAGTTTGATCATTGAGAACATTTTGTAAACAGGTACACCTCTATGGCGAAACGGGCCACCAGAGAAGCCGGTGTTGTGCAATGCGTGTGGTTCGAGGTGGAGAACTAAGGGAACACTAGTAAACTACACACCTCTACATTCGCGTCCTGAAGGTGATGAGATAGAGATTGAGGATCGTAAGCCTCAAAGAGTGATGATTAAGGGAATGTCTTTGAACAAAAAGATTCCCAAGAGGAAATCATATCAAGAAAATTTCACAGTTAAAAGAGCTAACTTGGAATTCAGTACCGGTTTCAAGAGGAAGGCTCTGGATGAAGAAGCTAGCAATAGATCGAGTTCAGGATCAGTTGTGTCAAACTCTGAGAGCTGTGCACAATCTAATGCGTGGGAAACGACCTTTCCTTGTAAGAGGAGGACAGGTGTGGGCCGTCCAAAGGCGGCTTCTTCTGTTGAAAAGCTCACAAAGGATCTCTATACTATTCTACAAGAGCAGCAATCTTCTTGTCTCTCTGGTTCTACAGAGGAAGATTTACTTTTTGAGAATGAACCACCAATGTTGTTAGGACATGGGAGTGTTCTTATGAGAGATCCTCACTCAGGTACTCGAGAAGAGGAATCTGAAGCTAGCTCACTCGTAGTTGAGAGCAGCAAGTCCTCATCAGTTCATTCTGCTAAATTTGGTGGAAAAGCAATAAAGCAGGAGCAACTGAAGAGGTAAATAACTTGTGGAATCCTTCTAGACAAATAAAGATTGAAGATTATTTTTGCAGATTCTAATATCAGTAAGCATAAATGACTTTTGTTGCAGGAGCAAACCGCAAGTCTTGGGAAGACAAAGTTTACTACTCTGTAGCATAGATTTAAAGGTAAATTCATTTGCATCACAACAACTATGTTTCTTCGAAAACCAATTGAAGGCCTTACGTTGACTTGGGAAAAATTCTGTGCAGGATGTTTTCAACTTTGATGAGTTCATAGAAAAATTCACAGAGGACGAACAGAAAAAACTGATGAAATTACTTCCTCAAGTTGACTCTTTTGATCGTCCTGATAGGTATTTTAACTCAATGAAACTTCAGTATTTACAGATTTCAGTGGTTTCTTCGAGTTCTTATACTTACTGTTTTCTCTTTTGCCAGCCTCAGAAGCATGTTTGAGAGTTCTCAATTCAAAGAGAACTTATCCTTGTTTCAGCAGCTTGTAGCAGATGGTGTGTTTGAGACATCTTCATCTGGATCAAAACATGATGACGTGAAGACACTTGCAAAACTTGCTTTAACCGATCCTAACAAATCCCATCTGCTGGAAAGCTATAAGATGCTCAAGGTTTTTCAACATATACTCTTCTTGAAACATACAGATTATATACTTTTGGTTTTTGTTCACTTTTAAATTTACTTCAGGAACAGAGAAAAGAGATTGAAGACTCTGTCACTACACCACCAAGGGTCTCAAACCTGAGTCCATCAAATAATAATAGTCTTGTAACCATTGAAAGACCTTGTGAAAGCTTAAACCAAAACTTCTCAGGTGAATAAAGATTCTTGAACCGTGTCAATCCATAACTCTCGCCAACAAAATCTGTCTGTTTCTGATTAGATTGAGTTTTTTTATCCTTCAGAGACAAGGGCTGTGATGAGAAGCCCCAAAGAAGTGATGAAGATTAGATCAAACCACACTGAAACTAAAGAGATTATAGAGAATAGTGTATCGTCCTTTAACCCTATGAGCTGTGGTGGATCTCTGGTGTTTAGGTATGAAGATAATGATATTTCTGATCAAGATCTTCTTCTTGATGTGCCATCAAATGGATCATTCCCTCAAGCAGAGCTACTTCACATGATATGAAAGTAGATAAAAAGTTTCTCAAACTCATTGGTGTTTCTCAGAACAAAGACTTTCTAAGATCTCTCTCTCTCTCGATCTCTCTCTTGAAGAGAAAAACTCTTTTGCTCTTTTAAGCTTTTCTGAGAGAATGTGGCCAAATGAGGTTTTCCTGCACTAGATATTGCAACTTGCAGATATATAAAAAAGGAAAGACTTTTATGTAAGGGCTCTCTTTGATACAATGACACATATGTGTTCTTCTTCTTATTCAACTCCAAGAACAAGAAAAAAGTCGTTTTCTTGCTCTCCTGCATGAGAAGGTGCTTAAAGAATTACATCTTTTTCTATACATTTACATACCAATATAAAACATTCGTAGTTTATTTTTACATAAAAGCAAGTGTAAAAGCAACTTTTATATTGCAATAAAAAAAAACAAAAGTTGTAATCTTTTTCCAACTTCTATTACTAGTAAAACACTCTTTTTTATACGTAAACGTATTTATGGTAAATATTGAATGCTTTTTTGTTTGTTTTTTTTCTTTTTACAATTTCCAGCAAAGCATCTCAGATTCTCAGGACTCAGGGCGTGGCTTGCATTATATATGTTTTTTAAAAAACTTTCATTAAATTAGTTTTGGATTTTTATATATCTAACAGTTACCTAAAATGATCACACGACTTTAATGGTATAGCTCCCTATAATAACAGAAATCTATGTGTTTTGATAACTAAAGCAACTCAAAAAACTCTGTTAAGTCTTCGTTTCGCCGGAGCCGGAGAAGGCGAGGTTGAAGACGATCTCGATCTGCCATTGCAGTCATCGTGGATTCTCAGGTATACACTCTAAATCTTCTTCCTTTTCTTCTCTCTCTCTCTCTCTCCTTGGCGTGTGATGTTGTGTTCAGTGATTTTACGATTTCGTCTGAGTGAGTGAGTTCATCGCCTCTCCATTTCAACTAACTGCTTTTTTCTTTGTTTTCCCGAGAAAAAGATGTGATTTTGATGCTTTGCAACTCCATGTTTTTTATTTTGCTTAGGTTTTCATCATCTTTGTTTTCTCCAAAACAATCTTTGGATTGTTTGTTTGTGCGATGTTTTCCTGAGAAATCAGGTGGAAAAATCGTATCTTTCGTCATCATTTTGAAGCTCATCGAGTGGGAGAGAGTGATCATCATCATCATCGATGTTAGTGTTTCTTCTTTTACACTCTCAATTGATCTCACAACTCAAGAAGATCGCTCCAGTTTTGAATTCAGTGACTTCATATCGTATCCACTACTCTGTTTGTTACCATCTCTGTTTGGATCCGTCAAAATCGAGTCTCAGATTCAATCTGTGTGTTAAAGTTCGAGACTTTTATTTAGTATTGGTGTGTTTGTTAGTTTTAGACTTTTAGGGATCGTTTTCATAGAGCTGATGATGATTTGATTGTGATGTTTCTCTACAGGGATATGACTAGTTCTCAGAAGCGATCTTTTGTCTTCGCCATTCGAGATTTCCCATCGGGATGTGGAACTAACATTGAGCTTCCAGATGAAGGTGCCTTCAAGAATCCAAAAATTGATGATGTTTCTGGCAAGAATCTGAGGGTTGCATCACCTAAACCTGTAGAAACTTGTGGCAAAGAAGAATCAGCTGGTCAAGATCATGTTGTTGCAGCTCCTTCATCTCACAGACAAGAGCCGGAGATGACTAGAAACTCTGACTGTGATCCTGCTCCTCGCCAGAGAGTGCTTGAGGTATTGAGTTTCTTCAAACAAGTATACGCACAGTTGGATCGAGATAAGAAAGCGAGGCGCGGTGGGGATTTGCTCGACGCAACAAGCAGAATCGACCTCAAGACGCTAAAAGTCTTGGAGAATATGGGGAAGCAAGTGAACACAGAGAAGAGAATCGGATCGGTTCCAGGAATCAACGTTGGAGATGAGTTTCAGTACAAAACCGAGCTCCGTGTTGTCGGGCTTCACTCAAAGACAATGTGCGGGATCGACTACATGAAGATAGGAGAGGTCAGGCTGGCCACAAGCATCGTAGCATCAGAAGGGTACGGCTACAACGACACGTTCAACTCTGGTGTGATGGTTTACACAGGTGAAGGAGGTAACGTAATCAGCAAGGAAAAGAAGACTGAGGATCAGAAGCTGGTGAAAGGGAACTTGGCCTTGGCAAATAGTATGAGGCAGAAGAAGGAAGTGAGAGTGATACGTGGAGAAGAGAGATGGGATCATAAAGGGAAACGATATGTGTATGATGGTTTGTATATGGTTGAACAGTATTGGGAAGAGAAAGAACTCAGAGGTAAGACTGTGTATAAGTTCAAGCTTTGTAGGATTCCTGGTCAACCTCCATTGACTTGACTTGATCTTTGTATTGTCAGATTAAATGAAATAATAATAAAAATTCAATAAGTTGGAAAATTGAAATATATGTAAATCGTTTTGGAAGTTTTTACTTACGAATTACATGAAATAGTCATACAATTTGTTTTATAAATGGAAGTAAAGAAATACATAAAATATACTTTTCATATTTGATTAAGTAGTTTCCAAATATGAATTCAAAGCATGATTTGCTTGGAGAATAAAATTATATATTTTATTGGAGATATGGAAAGTAGTTTATAAGTTTAATGGAAAAACATATCTTTTACAAAAAAAAGAAAGGAAAATAATATCGTATTGGTTAAGAAAACCCTAGGAAAAGGTAATTTGATATAACTACAAATATTTATCGAGATTATTTCTTAATTCCCTCCACTATATAAAGAGGTTTTTGCATGAAGTTTAGAAATCATTCACCTCACAAATTTTGAGAAAGCAGTAAACTTATAAGAACATCGCATTAGAAACCTCTCATAGTACTCTAACCTCTCTTATTATTCTTTTTCTATATCAAATTTAGTTTTCTTGTTGGAGTTTAATTCTCATCAAAAGGTTTGATGTAGTTGTTTGTTATCTTTTGAGCTAATCAAATCATAAGTCATAAAAACTGGTTGATAGACTTTTCTTCTAACGAGTCAGGTTAGTCGCTTAATCTTACTCTTTAATTGATAAACCAAAACATGAAAACACAGTCGGTTTATCGACCTCTGTGATAGGATAGTAAAAGATAGTGTGTAAAAAATTAGGGGTAAAATTATTATTTTGGATCCAAATTCGATTCGCTATTTGAATCTTTCTGATTCGTTCAGAGAATTTGGATATTTAAATGATTGGATCCTGATTTAGATATTTAGAATCATGTATTCATATCCTAAACGTTTGAACGGTGTTTGACTATTGATTCAACCTTTACCGATTTGTATCCAAATCGTTTGGACTCTTTTACCGATCTGTATTCAAACTGTTTGAGCGGTATTTGACCGTTGATCCAAATAGTCAAAAAATAAGATACCATACATATAGATTTGTACTTTTAAAAGTCAAACCTTATGAATTTGATTAGAATCCAAATACACTATAAATGAAGGTTATTTCGATATGTTCCACCTTTAGTTACAATTTTATAATTTTAAATATTATTTGTTTTCTGCAAATTATATATATATATAAATATTTATTTTTTATGTAGATAAAATAAATCATGGTTTACAATCTTGTGATTTATGCAAGCAAAAGAAGGTTGTTCTACAATTGAAGAAGAAGAACAATGGTATCTATACTATTCGAAACTTAAACTTTGCAACTTACAAGTACAAGCTCAAAACCAACCAAAACTTCTTCAAAAACTCTATTTATTCATTTACATAAGGTAATATCCACCTCTTTATCTTTTCTATTTTCCTTGTATTTCATGCCATACAAGATTTTGTAAAAATGGTTTTCATAAAAAAAGTTAAGAAACTTAGGCTTTGAAAGTTAGCAAAATCCATTATTATATGAGTGTTTGTAGTGAATATGATGTATAATTCTTATTATGGTCATGTTCGTTTCATAATTGCAAGCAACTGCGCCTGCAATTTTGAAATCGAGAGATTTTGTGTGTTTCGTAATTGCGCGACTAATCACAATTTAAAGTTGCGTATCTGTTTTTTTTTTAGTCGGAAAATTCATTTGCCACGATTGATCTAGTGTTTAGTCACATCATTTTGTGACTATCAAATGAAAACTTTTAGTCACAATCTCACATAAAGAAATAAAGCTTGGTTTTCAAACTTAGCTTTTAACACAATCATCATCTATGTCGATTGAATCGATAAGATTTTGACACGTATGAATTCCAAATTTACTTATATATTTAAAATATTTTTTATAAAGTTTAAACCTATTATAAAGAGGAAATCTACACTACACATATGTGTAAAGAAATCAAGTTTTATTAGTTTTTCACTTTTTCACGTGACTTGATTTTTTTTCTATTTTTAATATTTTTAAAAGTTAGTAACACAAAAACTATAAACCATAAACCAAAAAAACCTAAAATCCAATGCTGTGCCATATGATTTTTTTCGGCCAAAAAATTAAATCGATTTTTTTTTTACTTTTTTAAGAGACTTTAATATTTTTTCATCCATTCTTATATTTTTAGTGAAAGAATTTAAAAACATAGACCAACCGAAATTTTTAAACCCCGAACTTTTTTTTATACTTGCGCACTAGTTGAAGATAGTATATAAAAATATATATATTAAATTTAGGGAAAATTCAAAATTACTCTATTTTAAAAAATTTATTAAAAAAGAGCGCTAAAATTTTAAAATTTATTCATACATTTGGAAGCTTAGAAAAATGAACTGAAACTCTTTATATGTATGTAAAATTATATATGTATTACAAATATATATAAATATCTTTTAAAGATATAAATCATTATATCTTGTAAAACATATCTTATAAAATATTAAAAAATTATTTAGAAATACTTTATAAATTATATAAAATTTTATAGTTTTTATTTATAAACGAAAGTATTTTTAGAAATGGATAGAAAAAGAATTATTTTTTAAAAAGGATATATGGAAATTTGAGATTCCATAGACTTTTTTTTTGTCGACAGATTCCATAGACTTTTGATTTTCGGTAAATATAACTAGCAATAAAGTAGAAGAGAAACAAAAATTAAATTAATATGGAAAAAAACTTACACCACAAACAAACCACTAGTCATTTGCATATAACGTAATCACTAAAGTTAATCATGTACTGTAGTAAATTAGTTGCTTATAATTCGCTTTAAGCAATTATAATTGAAAATTAATAACGTTGTTAGTGACTTCGTGGCTCCGTTTAAAAATCAAAACACCGCCTCTCTCTCTCCTAAGTATTTGTTCAGTCATTGCTCTGTTCCCTCTCGGTTTCCGAGCCTCAGAGATTATCATCAAGAAGAAGAATCCAGAATCAAGAAAGCACTTAAAATTGTTGTTACTCCTCGTCGTCTTCCTCTCGGAGATTCTCTGGTTCTTGGTTCGGTGAATCTTTCTTGTTTTCTTGCTATTTATTGCTTTATCTGTTCTTCGCATGGTTGGTTTTTCAATTTCGCAGTTTGTTCTGTAAAAATTCAATGCACGTTTTCGACTTTTCAAGTGTTTCTTGTGTTCTGCCATTTTCTTATATGTTTGTTTTGTTAAGTGTAGATTTCATCCAACTTAGGGTTTGAGTTAGGGTGTAAAAATCGAGTCTTTTACTTAGTTAAGATCTCTAATCAAGGTTCGTAATTTTCACAGTTTTGATGATTTTAAACTTGTTAACGGTTCGAATTTCAAATAAAGTTTCACTTTCCGTCGTCTTCGTATGTTATTGTTAGAGTTTCACTATATTTATTGTGTTCACACTTACCTCTTGTGTTACCAATGTCGTTTTCTTGGAATTATATATGTTTGGTCTGATTTAAAAACTTCATCTTTTTCTTGAATCCTAGTGGTGTGGGGATTGGAGAAAGATTTTGACGGTTTCTTCTTTGTTTGTCTTTTCTCTTAAAGTGTCTTTTGAGAGCTTTTGGGAATCACATAGTGCTTTTAATTTTTTTACCAAGACAGTTGATTTTTGTGTACATTGTAGGATGATGATGATGATTCAAAGGACCTCCCCTGCTTTAAAGCGACGAAAAGTCTCTTCTTTTAGAGATATTCCACATCTTAATGTCAAAAACGAGATTGGTAGTGATGATGTTGCTGTCATAAGTGAGCCAAAAGAGGATTTGGATGATTGTGAAGATAGCAAATGTGTTGGTGTTGCTCATCACAGGACCTCACAGGTCTCTTCTGTTAGAGATCTTCCACATTTCTCTGTTAAAAACAAGAGAAGTTATGATGTTGCTGTCGTAAGTGAGAAAAAAGAGGATTTGGATGGATATGAAGATAGCAAATGTGTTGGTGTTACTTATCACAAGACCCCCCCTTCATCACAGGTCTCTTCTGTTAGAGATTTTCCACATTTTACTGTTAAAAACAGGAGATGTGAGATTGGTAGTGATGATGTTGCTGTCATAAGTGAGACAGATGAGGATCTGAATGGTCATCAAGATAGCAAAAGTGACGGTGTTGCTTGCCATGATTACCATAAGCCTAAAGAAGACGAATCATTTGATTCGATTATGAAGAAGGCTGGCTTCAATGTAGCAGGTAATGGTAATGTTGGGAATGGGAAATATCCTCCAGCTAGGAGGAATGTTCCTCTACTTTCTAAAAGTAAAGTGAAACCTCTAAGCTCAGAGGAAGGTATTAGGCTAATGGCTTGTCAAAGCAACAGAAGACGTTCTTTTAATAACTTTCAGAGGCATCCTTTAGTGGTAACCAAAGCTGTGCAGAAACATCGATACTCACCTGTGAAGAAGAAGTTGAGTAATGCAAGTGCTTTTAGAATAAGAGCCAATGCTGTGCAGCAACATAGATACTCACCGGGGAAGAAGAGGTTGAGTAATGCAGCTGCGTTAAGAGCAATGACCATTGCTCATAAACCAATTCGACACAGAGATGAAAGACAGTCAAATCATCATGGAGTCAGCTCGGTTATACAACAGAACCGGATCACCAAAGATCTTAGTCCACGCGAGAGAGTTCTCAAGGTGTTGCGTCTTTTCAGACTTGTGCATGCTGAGTTTGATCGTGACAGGGTACCACGACGAGGTGAATCAAAGACTGCAGCGAGCAGGGCAGATTACAGAACTCGGAAGGTTCTCATGGAGAGCGGGATGCAAGTGAACTGTGAGAAGATGATTGGACCAGTCCCTGGAATCAAGATTGGAGATGAATATCAGTTCAAGGCAGAACTCAACGTAATCGGTCTTCACTTTAACATGAGGGGTGGGATTGATTACATGAAGAAAGGGAACACAAAGCTAGCTACAAGCATTGTTTCATCGGAAGGTAATGGTTACTTCGACAGACGTGAATCTGATGTGATGGTTTACTGTGGTGAAGGAAGTCACAAGGATGTAAAAGTAATCAAAGATCAGAAGCTTGTTGCGGGAAACTTGGCTTTAGCTAATAGCATGAAGAGGAAGAATCCAGTGAGAGTGATCCTTGGCAAAGAGAGATCGGACCATAGAGGAAAAGATTATGTGTATGATGGTTTGTACATGGTTGACAAGTACTGGCCAGAGAAAGGACCTCAAGGTAACATTATGTACAAGTTTAAGCTTAGGCGACTAGCTAATCAACCTTGTTCTTGAATGTTTAGTGTAAGATAATTTTTTGGTTTTTTGGGAAGATCGATGGTCAGAGACCTGTAATATCAAGCCAACTAATATAATATTAGTTTCTTTTACAATTAAAACTAAATGATTTCTCAAACTATATTAGAACGACTTAAACGAGAATGGATCATAAAAAAGCGTCGAGAGACTTGTTTCCTTCCTTCATAATCCATAAAAGAACCATAATCCATAGGTCAAGGTTCAATGGCTCTCATTTCATGATAAGTTTGGAGGAAACCTTAGAAGTGAAATAGTTTCTCTCCCTTTTATTCATTAACATTTAGGCTTATTTATACAAAGTATAAAACTTGATTACCAAGTAATTTACATATGATAGTAAATCTACCTATTTTAGATATACACATATATCAATTTCCATTTAACTCGATCTCGTATCTCCGAGATCTCCTAATATGATAATAGTATTTCTCTTCTAATTTACATATATGATAATAGTATTTGTATCCACGACGTTCACTTTTCCTTCGTCGGCGACGCAATTGAACAGAGAAGAAGTGATCAGTATCGCACCGATTTTGCAATTCCTTGAAGAAATCAACTCATTTTTCCTAATTAGTCTGTGTCCCTTTGACATGTTCCAATCCAGCTGCTCGATTCCAATTGAAATTGGAATCTTGGAAAAACTCGCTTTGAACTTGAGAGCCAATCTCACTACCGGAGTTAAATTCATTGAACTCTAGGACATGATGGCTGTCAGACACGAGAATCTTCAGGTGGCTGGTTCGCTTGGACTCAATGCTAGTGAATGAGAGTACGTTGGCAACAAGTTTGACGAGCAGTACGTCGTTACTCTTTGGATTTATATGTTTTGATATGGTGTAGTGCAAAAGAAGAACAAAATGCGAAATTAAAATCCAAAGGCCACCATGCGAATAGGAAAAACATGGTTGAAGAACAAATAAAGCGATTTTAGCAAGAAAACAAGAAAGATTCAACGAACCAGAGAATCTCATGAGGAAGACGACGACGAGTAACCCCATTTTTATTCTTTTTATTGTTTTGTTGATTCTGGATTCTTCTTGATGATAATCTTTGAGGTGGTACGGTGTTAACAAAGGTTCTGAATGGTAACTCTTAAAAACCGGATTTCAAGAGTGTTTTTTTTGTTTTTTGTAAAATAAGAAAAAGAAGTAATTGTATGCATTTTTGTAAATTGGGTATCACCCAATGGAACTTAGAGCATCTCCAATGGTAAACCCCTCTATGCGGTGTTTACCAATTTTTTTAATATAATTTTTGAATAATTAAAAATTAAGTACAACTTCCAATTTTTTCTCCTCCAATGGTATAATCTCACTAGGAGTTCTTAAACTTAATGTGAGGTTTTTTTGAACTTGTTGTAACTTGTGAATCAAACATGACCAATGAATTACAACTTTATAAGCTCTTCAAAATATTTTAGGAACTATCCAAGTAAGACAACGGTCTCTCTAATCAATCTCAGCCTTTTTTTGGTCACGGTAACACAAGGAGAAGTCGTTTAATTAGGAGAGCTCACGGTATAACCCACTGCTCTTCTCACACTCTCCGTCTCATCATTGCTTTTGCATCATCACAAAACATAAAATTCAGCGTTTTTGCAATAACACACTAGATAAAATTCTGATTGATATTTTTCACTTTTTTCATTTGTGGCTGATAAAATAAGTAGGAGAAAAACCCGAAAAAACCGCCAACTATTTTCTTTGACGTTTAATACCTCTACTTTTTGAAATAGATTAAAAATATCTCATTTATTTAATTTCATTTATACAAATTTACATTTATATAATGATTGGTAGATTTGTATCAACGAGTTAACAGTCGTTAATAAAAGATAAGAGAATATTTAACGGGTTAAATTTTAACCTCACATAATTTAAGCTTCGTGCGGATTCCAAGTACTTCATGGAGAAACAACAACTTAATAAAACCTATAAATTTCTTGAGCATATATATACCCATCATTGCCACAAATGAGAAGGTCGTCAACATTAAGTAACACCTTGAGTTCAATGTTGTTTTTGGTAGAGGAGAACAAGGAATTATTATCATATGCTTGAACAAATCCAAACCATAAGACAAAGACAACTTCTTAAACTAGCACCTAGGAGCATGTTTCAAGCCATACAATAACTTGCGAAGACGACAAACTTTTCAAGATGTGAGTGATGAAAACCTGGTGGGAATTCATATATACCTCCTCATCGAGATCACCATGGAGAAATATGTTGTGAACATTCATTTGATAAACCTCCTATTGAATTATGAATATTTAAATATATTAAAAGTTTAAAATAACATAGATAGGTTATATTGCATGACGGATTGTACGATGAAACGGATTTAAATCGATATTATTAATAATTAAAATATATGAATCTGATATTTAAACACGGGTGAAATCCTTATTTTATGATTTTTAACAATACTAATATAAAATATGTCGAATAAACTAATTTAGTTAAACTTGGTAGATGCATGCAATTTTAATAGTTATTAAGTAAACTTCAATAAAATCAGTAAATTCGGAAACCCTACACCCTTAGTCTCGACGACGCCGATTTTGTAGATACTGCTATCGTTTCCGTCTGGTTTGTGCATCGATTTCGCCAATTATTGCCGTTATTGTACCTTTAGAGCTGATTCTAACGTATTTTGGGTAGATGAGATCAGAGTGTGTTTCTCCATCGGCGGTTATGATAGTGGTGAATTGGCTCGCCGGTAAACACGACAATCGGATGCATCGTCTCCAAAAAGCTATAGACATGCTAAAGAAGGTATCATCCGACTTCATATGTCTTTTTGTGTGTGTGTTGGTCAAATCACCTTAACCTAGCTCATTGTTTCCATTTTTTTTTTTGTTTTATCTGTTTAGACGATTGTTCACATTGAACAAAAGGAGAAAGTGTACCTGGAGAAGTCTGCCATGTATTCTGAGACTGCAAAACAATGTTACCGGGCTAATAACATACGTGGTACGTACGTACGTACGAACCACCAAAGCTATCTATCCATTCTTTTTTCTTCTTTCGGGTTCAATTATTACAACAACACATGTTTTGTTGACATTATATATGCAGCTGCTTTATTCTACATGAAATTGAAGCTGATGCTCGATGAAGCACTTCAAATTCGTCGCCTTCTTTGCCTGCCTTTATATCAAGAAGTGAGACTTTCATTTCATTTGTTTGTGTGGTATTATTATTTATTACATCATTATTTATTTTCAAGTCTTGGAACACCGTTTTTATTTTTTTTTCGTATTTTAAACAGTTGATGTTCGTTGAAAATGTTAAAATGGCGTTGATTTCTGCTGCAAGCGCAAAGAAGAAGAAGAAGAAGAAGAAACTGTTTGTATCGTTGCCAATGCTTGTGTTTGTTTTCTTTTGTTTTTTCCTTTTAAGTCTAGCATACGTAAAGACTCGATTTTAACCTGCGGGACTATGTTTTTCTTAAGTTTTATATACTAAATTTGTCGTTTTAATTTTAGTCTTTTTCTTTGATAAATAATATATTGATATACATAATTTATGGTTTGTTTGATGTGCATATAATTTTATGAAAAAGAATTAGGTTTTGTAATGTAAGAAGGTCTATATATAATATTTGTTACATTATAGGATTTCATCCGTAGGAAACATTTTACTTTCACATGTTCCATTTTTCTATTTTGCACACAAACTCTAAAAAATTTACCATTGTGAAATCTCCTAAGAGAGACATCATTAATTAAACTTTTTATATTTTACACTTGCTTTCATACCCCACAAACTACTTTGACTAATTGAGAAATGGAACATACAATACTTCTAAACCGATAAAATTCCAGAAATTGTAAAATATTTGACAAAATTATATTTTTAACACTTGCAGAATTTACATTTAGTCATATTACATATTAATTATTTTAGTCATAAGTGAAAATTCAAGAAACTAGAGTTAAACCCGTAAAAACCGATAAAATTTAAAAAAAGCCCCGAAAGTTTACTAAGGAAACTTAAAGCCCATTGACTTCAACATGTCAACACAGCTCTGACTTTTGTCGTCTTCTACTTCTTCAGCCTTGTCACCTGAGTTTCGAAGCAGAGCTTCAATGATTTCCTTAAAAGGAATGATCTCATCACTCTCTTTCTCATTCTCTTTATCTTTATTCTTCTTCTTCTTCTTTCTTCCGTCTTCTTTCCATTTCCCACCGCCCCATTCGTACGACGGATCCATCCACGGCGGCAACACTCTCCTCGCCACCGCCTCTTCTCCGGCAGCAGTTGAAGACGTCGAAGCTCTTTCCTTTTCCGAAACCCTAGATTCGATTTGATGCGATCTCGCATCTTGAGATTCCGGTGAAGTGGGAACAGAAACCATTACGACTTTTTCTTCGGGATTCACCGGAGAAGATGATTCCCAATCTCCCAAAATCTCTGAACTCTCTGTATCTGAATGTTTCTCCATTCTAAAAAAAAAGCTTCGTAATTCGAAAATCGGCGAAACTGTCGATGAAAGGAACCATTTTTGGTTTTTGTTTGATTTGTTGGGCTTTTAAGTTGGATGGATCATTTGGACCCAATTCAGATTAGTTCTATTGGGTTTTTAGTCGAAACGATTTTACATTTAATGATTTAAATTTACAGCTCTTATAAGTGTAGCTGTGAAATTGATCATGCTCTAATGAAAAATGAGAAACAACAATAGAACGAACAACAAAAGACTAAATAATGGTGGAGCAAGTAATAGAGCAACAATATATATCAGAGTCGACATAGAAGTCAGTTTTCAAGATGGTAGGAAATATGCATCGGGACTTGCATCGACTGCAAAGTGGTCGAGACATGCTATTGTTTCGAACCGCCTCATAAGGTGTGGTCTTTGTTTCTCTCTTGGTTATGAAGCGTCTTTTTGGTTCGAGGCCTCGGAAATCTCCAAGCACACAATTGATATGCAAGGTCACTCCACAATCTTTACAAGTGTAAAACCAAGTTTTCGGGTCCGTTTCTTTCTCGCAAATATCACACCAATACTTCCCACTCCGCGCATTTTCACCATAGCACAAAGAAAGAAAATGGTCATCCACTCTATGCTTGAACGCGTATGGCAATAGAGCGCACTTGAAGTCGAGGATAAACCCACAATTATCTTCAACGCATCTAAGCACATGAGATGACTCTTCGTTGCAAGCACTGCATACTCCCCCGTCCAGTGGTGACATGTAAAACAAAGGATGTTCAGGATGACTTTGATGGACAAATGGCTCTGGAACTGAAGCACATCGCACATCTAATCTATTCTTCTCACAATGGTACATGAAACCGTTGTAAAATACTCCACATGCCTCGCATTGAGAATAATTTGCTTGTTTTGTACTTAGAATATACGGCTTATTGCTTAGAACATGCCGTTTCCGCCTAGGGAGTTTAGCGCAGCTCTCATGGAGAAAGAAATTACAACTCATGCAGTTGAAGAAGGAATGGTGGTAGATAGGATAAGTGCATGCCTTGCAGCTCTTCTCCTCGATAAAGATACCAGACTTGTTGAGTCTTAGGTTATGCTCTCTATGGCTGAAATGTTGAATTGTGTTTTCATCTATCACCTCAAAAGGTTCGATATCTTCATCTTCTTCAGGTTCGTCTTTCATTTCTAACCCGTCCCACACATCTTCTCTAGTAGCACATTTGGTATGGAACACATTGTCACGGCACCTCTCACAAGAATAACCCCCACAAGTCCACTCCATTTTCTTACGACAAACTCCACATACTGCATCCACAACACCAAGGAGAGAAGTGCGAGAAACGCGATGGTTGTGTCGATTGATGTTTATGACCCACGGAAACCCAGAGCAGTCATTATGGGCCACGAAATCACATTGAAGACAGAAGTATGGGCTTCGATCTCCGATAAGACCGCAAGTGGTACAAGTAAAAGAAATCTGTTTTGGCTTAAGGATGAGTTCATGGTCATGGATGTTTAGATCATGAAGATGTAATGGCGGTGGATAATGAACACAATGCAAATCCAAGCTAAAGTTACAAGTGGAGCAATGATAAAAGACTTCATCATCAACAAGATTATCCCCGCACAGACGACATTTGCCATCAGTATACTTAGGTGGTTCACCCTTAAAGAGCTTTAGAGGATGTAAGGGGTGGGAAGGGTGGTTTACCTCTTGCTGCATACTTTTTGCAGTTCACATGGAATGACAATTCGCATTCGTGACACTTGTACGGATACTCATCACCCTCCTTTCCGCAAGAAGCACAAGTGAAGCATCTTTCCATCAACTCTAGCTTGAGTTCATGGTCGTGGCTCTGTGGAACATGAATGGTCGCAGGGGGATGGTACTTGGCACAACCCAAATGGATTTTTAAATCACAAGTGCGGCAGTTATAATGTTTGATATAGATCTCGATCTTCCCTCCACATAAACCACATCTCACTTTGAACCTCTCATTATTGTACCTAAGAGAGAGGCTGCTCTTACACCTGTGAGAAGGGTGGTTGATCTCTTCAGGAGGGTTGCTGCAGATCTTGTGCGCATAAAACTTACACTGGGTGCAAGAGTAGCCATCGGTTATTGATTCGAACTTGATCCCACAGCAGTTACCCATCCGCCCATCTTTCGAAGGTGTCATCAGATGATGATGGTGAATGGCTACTCGCACCTCCACAACAGTGTCCATGACCTACGTACGTACGTTGATTAATAACCAAGAACGGAAAAAAAGAGAACAAGATTGGATTTGACTCCAAAAACAGTTCCTTTCTCTTTCGGATTTAGACTTCTCTCGAGATTAGTGTTACATATAACAATAATTAACCTTTCTATAAACCAACTAGCTAGCTGATGAGGAAAATCATTTTCAATAATGGCCAGCTATTATTAGTCGTTCGGTCATTTTTAAAACTTTCTAATGGGCCAGCTGTTATATATTTAGTCAACTTAACACGATTTTATTCGAATTTGATAGTTTTAGGAGAAATCAGGGTGGCTCTTAAACCAGTTTCGTCGGGTAAAAATACTCATTTGGATATCTCATCAGTAATAAAATATTTCTACATTTTATATTTTTTAATTAATTTTCTTTTATACATAATATTACAACCAACCAATAAATAAATTTTAGTACCAAAGAGTGGTCACAACTTACAAATACTGTATATATCGTTTTGAGGGCTGTGTAAAAATTGATCTCTACATGCAGCAAAAAAAAAATATTATGTTCTTAACTCTACACACAAACAAATAAACCAATGATAAAATTATGGATTTACGCAATGCTTTCAGAACGACAACCTTATTATACTTTGGAGAATAACAATGTTAAAAAAAATTGGAGTTACACAATGCTTTAAAAACGAATAAATTATTTTGAGAAGAAGATTGAGAACAGATAAATCATATTTATTTCATCAACTTGGGAATAAATAGAATGGATTGCAAAGTAAATAATTATTATAGTCTATGCTGAAATTGTAGATATAGAGATTATAAAAAAACACTAAAAAAAAGAAACTAACAAGAAACTTCAAAGGCAAGGATAGTAACAATAGCATTGGAGGGTGTTGGAGCCTTCTGGTAAGACGCATCGGCCCAAGCCATTACGCTTCTGAAGGCACAGAGCGCTGCAGTTGCCAGCTCCACAATCTATTTCTTTCAAAACCTCCTCACATCTTCCTTCTTCTTCTTGTAGTCCTTCCATCTCATTCACCACCATCCCTACACATATATATAATCATTTTAACGTTTCAGCTTTTGTTTTCGAAAACTTAAAGAAGATATTTGACAAGTATATTAAAAGAAAAAACGAAACCTAGAATAAAAATAATGAAGAAAGCACAAATGATGGATTTAGTCATTTCTGTGTGATGATTAGAGGTTTTTTTTTTTAATTGCAAGTTTTGATATGACACAATAATAGTAGCTGTGGTGGTGCATATTGAAATACCACACACGATATATATATAGGAATTATTAGAAAATACATTAAAATGGAGATTTAAGATTTTATTGATGATTTTTGGTAAGTAATTGATTAAAATTCTCGTCTTTTATAGTTTATATTCTCTTTTTCTTTGAAAATCTATATCCAAAATTTCCTAAATAATTAAATTTTAATTTTTAATACAATATATCGTACGTTAATATTTTCTCATAAATGTTATATATGATAATATATGAATAGTATATATTTTATTCTTTAAGAAAATTATCTTTTCCTTTTTTGGTGTGGTTTAGTGTCAAAATTTAAAACCTCTTATTAATATTATGGAATAATTTGTATATATAAAAATTATGGTTATGGTTACGCATTCTCTGATCATGGTTACGCAGTCCTCAACTCCCAAATAAAAATGGTGTCATGTGAGAGATGTTTTTATTTTGCTATTAATTAAGTTTGACGACTAAGCTTTGATATTTGCATGCATATTCATTGTATTAAAACTTACTAAACTTCGTTTTCTAGGACTAGGACGTATAACTTTTTTATTTTCTTGTCTTTCTAAAGTGATCAACAAAATAATTGCAACAGGTTTCCTTCACAAAGAGGATTGAAAAAGTGGAGAAGTAACATCGAATGATGAAAGGGTCTGTTGGGGTCAAAAATGTACATACAATATTACTGAATAAGAAGAAATTTTGATGGAAGAAATGTGTAGAACAAACATTAAGATAGAGCAAGAGAGGGCTGATAGAAATAACGCAAACTTAGAAGATTAACAGAGTAAAATACCCGAAAATGTGTAAAACTGTTTTGAATCCGCAGTTACATATGCTGAGATGGTAGGCAACGCGGAGGAGCTGAGAGTTGTTATGTGGGAGAAGCTAAAGTGAGTTTTAGGATGAAACCGATGATGAGTCCGATGAGTCCAACCATTGCTGCCAACTTTAAGGATAGCCCATTTCCGCCGTTCCTCTGGTTTCTCCGTCTCTTCACCATTTCCTGCAATGTCATTAAAAACACGTTAGGCCACTTTTATGTTCACATGATTTTGTCTGAATGGCCGTAATAGCAAAGCATAAACCAATGCTAAGATATCAAGGAAAGGTTCATAAAGCGTACCAATTCTTGTTGCAGCTGTTGTGTTTGCTTAACGGCTGCATCTCGTTCTTCCTTCAGCCGCTGTATAGTCTGTTCATACATATCAATGGATAGAATCGTGAGAGTGATGATTAAACAAGACACAAATTAATCTCTCTTAAGTAAAGAATGTGGTCACTTGTGAGATTCTGTGAGGTACATTTGTTAACCACATGATGAAGAAAGGTATATTTATAGAGAGATTAAATAATGCTTTACAGACCAGCGTGTGTTTCACTGTCCCAACCAATCAACTCAGTCCCTCGCTACAGTTTCTAACTTTCTATAGCTTAATATCCGTTAGTGTGAATAGTAGAAATAGGATCTGAATAACAATTCTTGCACACAGGTATCATCACAAAACGCAGGACTTTTCAATTTTTATATGGTGTCTGCCTATGCAAGAGGTCCATGGTATATCTTACTAAAAGGGCTTTGCCACGATCTTAGTAGTTTAGCAAAATGATAATGATTCACACAAGTTAATGACCCAGAAATCAGAATAGTGATGTTAAGAGAATTTTCATTAAGTCATTACCACAGGCAGATTAAATTCTATAGGTGGGGGAGGGTGTAATTGTTACTCACAGAGATGGTTTCCGAGCCTGGTCCATCACCATTTGTTGCTCCGGATTCAGAGGATCTTTGGGTTGTAGATGGGGAGATATAAGAAACTTTGAGCTTACACTCTGTTAATGTCTTTCCACTGTCCTTTGTGAACTAGACAAAAAGCATGGCAAATTTAATGTCAATTTCTTTCACAAAAATGTTGAAACAAGATTCTGAAACGAAAAGGTTGTAAACTGGAATATCTTACTGTGTCTTGTGGAAGTTCATCGACATCAGTGTGTGGAGGTACAATGGTACTTTGCAGGAGAAATTTGTCTTTGCACTGCATATCTGGAGGATACTCTCGTTGCGCTTGTAGAGTAACTATAACAAAGAAGATCTTAATGATGTCCATGTTTCAAGTTATAAAATGCTAATGAATGAAGAGAGTAATGAAGAATCATTATACCTCTAATGATGCAAGAGTCCCATGGCTGAATGACACCAGTATTGGGTCTTACAAAATACTTCTTTGGAGATGTTGTCTTGACCTGATTTGGTGAACAAAACGAAGATGACATTCATAAGTTGATCATAAATAAAAGATGTGAAGTTGGTGGTTTGATGGAGAATTACCTTGAAAGCAACATAGTGCTCAGTTTTATTTGCAACTTTAAGATCACAGTAGCTTTGCTTCTCAAGTTCAACTGAAAACAAAATCAATATCCCCATTTCAATGTCACAGAACAAACAAGACAAGAAGATTATAAATAACCAAGAGAAAATCAAGCTTGAACATTAACATGATCTAAAGTCAAAACCTCAAAGCTCAAAGAAGTGAACAAAACTTAGATGTTGGTGTAAACAAGAGGAAAGGCAATGATTGACAATTTCGAAATTAGAGAGGACTCTTTTTTCTCATTTCACATTTACACAAATAAGGTATAGGTTTCCCTCGAAATAACCAAGTAGCTGAGATCATGCATAAGGATACTTACAGAGAAATTTGAGTTCATCAGGTTGAATGGAGATAAGCTGATTCTCGCCAACGCCAGACATCTTTCTATTGTTTGGCTTAAGCTAATAACAACACAAAAAAGAAGAAAAAGTTCCACAATCAAATTCTCTGTTTGAAAAACCTATACACATCAAAATCGAAGCCCCAAATTCCGATTTTATCTTTTCTTTTTCCAGGAAAAGGTCTCGAAGAAAAAGCTACAAAAGTAAAAAGAAGAAACTGAGAAAGGAAGGATCAAACCTGAAGAAAACAAAAAAAAAAGAGGAAAGTCGCAGGGTCCAACCGCGTGAGAGGAGGACGAAGATGCTAATTTCTTTCTACGTCTCTCGCGAGAATCGCTCTCCACCAAAACCAAATAATAAACCTTGTATCTCTCTCTCTCTCTCTCCTCTCGTTTCGATGGGTGGTGAGGAAGTTTTCTAGAGAGAGAGAAAGAGAGGGAAACGGGGGGAAGACGAAAACCAAAGCGCTTCGGGGGAGCGGCCGAGCCACACGTGAAGTCGAAGCAAAGTTTCCGTACGATTTTCCTCCGGCGTCGTCTCCGGGAAGTGCGGGGAAGGAGAGGAGAAGACAGAGAGAAAGAGAGGGAAAATGTGACACGTGTGAAAACAGTTGTGCATTTGCAACAATGTGAAGGAGGAAAAAAAAATAAAGGTTAAAAGCGACAGGCTGGAAAAAGAAGAAGAGGATGACGTGGCAAATTATGATTGGTTTGCTTAGTTTTTAATAGAATGACTAAAAAAAAATGCTAATAATGAGCTTTCAGAGATGGTAGGCCATTTTCATTCCCTCACGATTGATTTTATTTTAATTTTTGTATCTCTTTGCCGTGTTCCATTAATAATGATTTAATTTGTTGGGATGAAAAGAACATTATTAAATCGAGAATTCGAGAATCGAGATAGTAGAATCGTGACTAAGAAAAAAACTGAAACAGTGGTGGTTTAAAGTCAATACAGAGGAAACAGACGAGAAAAAAAAAAATACTCAATGATTTACTCGAATATTCCTTTTAATTCTTTAGCTGGACAAATCTTTAATATTCAAATTAGAACGATCCTGAATTCAAAACAGTTTTGAGTAGTTACCGTTTAGAAAAAAGTGAACAGTAGTTACATGATTGTAAACATGTATCTCAAGTGTTTTTGAAAAGCAATTTGCATGATTTTAGATGATTCAAAAGGTTTTTAGAAATGAGTAAATCAGTCTAATGTTACTAAAAAGGTCCACATCCTTACTCAAGATCAAAACAATCAACATTTGATTTACTTTTCCTTCAATTACTGTCACTGTAAATTACATGAAAAGAAATGAAATCCAGCAAACAAACAATTATTACAAGAGGGCGAGAGGGCGAGAGAGAGCGAGAGTATTTGAAAAAGGAGGAGATTAGCTACCTCTGGAGGTATGAAGACAACACAAGACAAGGCAGGACTGGTGTTGTGATCATTTAAAAGTTGAGAGACGAGGAAGTTTGTCCCTCAGATAGTAGAGTCTTGCTCTTCTCACTTTCCTGTGACTTACCACTTTTATCTCCTTTATGTTGGGAGAGTATCTGTTGTTTACATTGAAACAAACAATTCACATCAGATACATATATGCTAAAGCAACTCCACTATAGTCTATAGATTCAGCTATCGTTAACAGGAAAGATGATGTAGACTAGTATAAAATTGATTTAGTAAACTACAGGTCAACACACTTTTCCGTAACAAATGAGAAATCTAATTCCTGTTCTAAAAAATCTATATCATCAAGGTAATCCTCAGCTTGGTGATCTAAAATGCTAAAACTTCCGGCATACATGAACAAAGCTTATGCATATATGGTCAGCTTCATTATCGAAAACAAACTTTATTTCTCAAGAAACGAAGAGCACTATGACCATATTCAACTATCGAAAGCCAAGTAACTGTTACGGGTTTGTTCGGCAATCAAAGACCAGGTAACTGTTAAATGTTTGTTTTGGAGTCTCTAGTCGCTCCCCTATTAAAAAGGCTCCCAAACAACCAACTAGCCAAGGTCCATTATCTCTTATATACTATTTACCTATCTGCTTAACAATATACCAGAGAAAGGTGTGTGATAATTTTCGAGGTTAGGAAGAAGGAACTTACATAGGAAAAACGATTTCAACACCAATGCCAGCAATTATCCTCCTGATACGAATAGTAGTGTGGATGCCTGCATTTTGTCTAGAAATCACTATACCTTTGTAGATCGACAGCCTACGTCTGTTCTCAGGAACCTCCTGCAAAATCACACCTTTTTATGTCAACTCAAATCTTGCAGTTAAATGCATAATTCCATCAGATTATACACAGACAAGGATTTACCAGTTTGATTTCTACAATATCCCCTGTCCTAAGTTCCGGAACCGGCCTTACTTTCTCTGAAACCTCAATAGCTTTCTTGTTGAGTATCTACAAAAACAAAAAGCAAATCAACATTTCATTTCTCCAATGCCTGAAAGATAATTGATGATTAAAGAACAAGAGCCAAAACAAACACATCAGTCTTGACCACAGTATCAGATAATCATTAACAAACACCACACATATGCTAACAGAAACACATTTGATATTTGCAATTGCCACTAACGAAATGAGCTTCAAATTGTTTAATTTCAGCAACAAAACAAAACCCTAGATAATAGAGAGCAAGAGCCAAAACTCTTTACCACAGTGTCAGCAATGTATTCTAACAAAACCCCATTTACAAATTCAGAACCAAACTAAAAACCCTAAATAATCTAGCTGATAATTCACATTTGAAAATGAACTTACCCCCATGACATCGCCGAGCTTGACTCTAGTCTTCCTCGGAGGTTTAGCTTCCTCCACCGCAGAGGCTTCTCCTTCTCCATCTCCTTCCGCTTCAGTTTCAGCAGCATTCTCCACAACTGCCTCAGTTTCACCTTCAGTACTCTCTTCAGCTTTAACAATAAACTCCCTTCTCTTCTTGGAATCGATGGGAAAACCAAAATTGGAGCCGGAGTAATTGAGAAGAACCCTAGAAACTGATAGCCTCGAGTTGAGTGATGAAGCTCGTGGTAGAATTGAAGAAACCCCAAAATTCTTAGACGAGAATGTAGGGATTCTCGGCATCATATGCAATGACTGCATCCATGAAAACAGTAGATAAGTACAAAACTAAAATGAGCATAAATATGAACTGTGATTGCGCAAAGAACCTGAGGAAGAAGATGAGCGCTCGTCGCCATGTTTGCACAAACCCAAACTCACTCGAAGGAGAGTAGTGTGAGCCTTATCGTGGTGGCAATGTGAAGTAAAAAATGTCTCTTATCCGCGCGTGTGATTCAATTTATGGGCCAGCAACTAATTTCATGGGCCTATAAAATGAGGCCCATATTCAACTGAAAAGTTTAAGAAGCAACCATTACCAAAGAAGCCAGTGCCTGTTTCTTCTGTTGTATATTCAAGTCGTCTACTACATGTTCACGTTACCATTGACTTACACCGCAAGACTATCAAAACATATAATCAAAGGTTCCATATGTATTTTTCTTTCTTTGTGACACGAATCTATATTTCTTAAAGGTGCTTTTTCAGAAAAAAGCTTAGCAAAAAATAATCAGCATATAAAAGTTAATCGATTCGAAATATAATGTCCTAAATTTAGTTATTCTCTCGATTTCATAGAATTAAATAGAAAGAAGAATAAAAAGCGACAGAGAAGAAGAAAGAAAAATAAAAGAGAGATTGATTCTTTTGTCCTTCACGTATCTCTCCGAGTTGGCTATGCCACGTCAGCAACCGCGTCATTATATTGTCAAAAATAAAGCATTAAATTAATTTAAATATATATTCTCTATATATTAACCAAAAGCCAAACCAAAAAAAAAAATTACAAAAACACATTCACGTCTCTCTCTCTCTCTCTCTCTCTCTCTCTCTCTTTCTCTTTTTGTCCGACGACGATCGCTAAGAATTATCGCCGGAGATTCCTTTAACCGCCAGATTCTCGTTGGAAGATCGATCGATATATAATGAATCCTGAATAGTAAGAACTAAGAACCTTCTCTTCTCCTTTATGTATCTATTGCTTCGGATCGACCCGCTTTTTCCGTAAATTTGTTCATCTGTTTTGGTGATTTGGTTTTTTAGTTCGATTTTGCTTTGGATCCTTGTTTATTGGTAGATTAGGTTAGTTGAATCTTCCCAATTTTGCTCGTTTTAAGTTCTTTTGGTTTGTCTGATTCGATTCTAGGTTTTGGATCCTCGGTCCTTGGATCTTTTTTTTTATCTAGGGTTAGATTAGATCCAGTGATGTTTGATCGAGATCTGCTATTTCTGGTAGATTATCTTCCGTTTTGACACAGTTTTACGTTTAATTTCGTGTATTAGCGTATAGGAGTATTCAATTACATATCTCTCAGATGTGTATTGCTTAATTCGTTACACAGAGTGAGACATGGCAACAAAAGATGATCTTTGAGACATGGCAACAAAAGATGATCTTTTCTGAGTTTAGGTAGAAGCTTCACTTAGATTGATGTTTTTTCTCTCTTGTTTTGCAGTGACTATCTGTTCAAGCTTTTGCTTATCGGTGATTCTGGTGTTGGAAAATCCTGCTTGCTTCTAAGATTTGCAGTAAGTTATTTGCCACAAATTTAGCCATTTTTTCCCTAGCTAAGCTATGATTATGATTGTTTTGGTAGTTTCTCTTTAACCAGTTGCTCAATTGTCGGTACTCTATTGGATTTTTAGCTTAGTTTTGACTTTACTATTTGTATCATTGGTTGCTTCTTTGTGTGTTTTTTGTTTCCTGATATCTTGAATTTTATGTGTACAGGACGATTCTTACCTTGATAGCTACATAAGCACCATTGGTGTTGACTTTGTAAGCATATTTTTACTCACATTACTCATTTACATATACAGGGAACAAAATCATTTAGTACACGTATTAATTTAATATTTACTTGTGATTTGATGCAGAAAATCCGCACTGTCGAACAAGATGGAAAGACCATCAAACTCCAGATCGTAAGTGTTCTTGAGCTCAATATGCAATCATTATTGGTTAAAATTCGGATAGAACATATAATAATCGTGTTGGTAAATGCCTGTGTATGCAGTGGGACACAGCAGGCCAAGAACGTTTCAGGACAATCACTAGCAGCTACTACAGAGGAGCTCATGGAATCATTGTATTTACTCTTAACTCTTACCAGCCAGTCACCTTCTTGTTAATTAATACATCCTTTGCTTCTCCCTCACAGTTTACTATCTTTACAGGTCACTTATGATGTCACTGACCAAGAGAGCTTCAACAACGTCAAACAGTGGCTAAATGAAATTGACCGTTACGCTAGTGAGAATGTGAACAAGCTACTGGTTGGGAACAAGAACGATCTCACATCACAGAAAGTTGTGTCCACTGAGACAGCTAAGGTAATACTATTCCCAACCAAGTGACTTCTCTATCAACATACACCTTGTCTGAAAGATAATAACATTGTTGGTTGTCTCCTCTCCTTGTCGCGCAGGCTTTTGCAGATGAACTTGGGATTCCATTCTTGGAAACAAGTGCTAAAAATGCAACCAATGTAGAAGAGGCTTTCATGGCCATGACTGCCGCAATTAAGACAAGGTTAGAAGTTACAACAAAATTTCAACTTGTGAAGAACTTCTTAACCGTTTACTTAAACTTGGTTCTGTTGATGTTCTTTTGCAGAATGGCTAGCCAACCAGCTGGAGGTGCCAAGCCACCGACGGTCCAGATTCGCGGGCAACCAGTGAACCAGCAATCAGGCTGCTGCTCATCTTGATTCAATTAGTCACCAATTCTCTTTGGATCATCACTCCATTATAATCATTTGTTTGCATTGCATGTATGACTTCTCCAATTAACAACTCCCCCTCTTTTCCTTCTTTGGTTTTCATTTATTTTATTTTCAAATTCTTTTTCTGATGTATTTCGAATGCTTGAAACACATATATTACTTTAGTAAAAAAAGTCCCTTTATGAAGGCAGTGAGGCATTCTCGAACGGTAAGCTATATATCTGTTCTATACAGCTTACCAAGAATTAGCCTAAGGTACCAACGAAGGTATACCGTTCCAACAGTTACTCAGGTCAGTTAACTGGAGAGACCACATATATGCCAGAATTTAGATAAATACCACAATTAACATCATAACCAAGTCTTTCCTTTTGCCTTATTGAAACAAAACTAATCAAAGTTAGAACTTGATTGTGTTTTAAGAGCTAAGCAAAACAAAATTAACAAATCATCAAAATGGCTCACAAGCAAAACCAATGATCAGCTTAGCTTAGCTGGTGATACAAATAATCCTCTATGGATGCTTCTAAATGACTAAACAGCTTTTGTTAGAATATTGGTTTCCCTTTAGTGGGTTTAGCCTTCTTTAATTTCAGTTTTTAAAATTTCATAAATTTTTGTGACCATCTTGTAATCTATAAAAAAGTCAATAAAAATCTTTTTCTCAACCTCTCCCAGCTTTCTAAACAAAATAATAAACACTTTGCTTTTCTCAAGGGTGACCAAACAGTGAACCAGCAAATGTATTTCAATTGCTTGAGAGTGAAATCAGTTTATATGGATTCATCGACGCATTCTCCAACGGTAGTAACGCACTTCGGAGATATGTAATTCGATAATTAGAGATAGAAGGATCATGATAAATTTTTAATAACTTAAAAAGCCAAACGAAAAGGTTTTGCAGAAAAGATTTTTGAGAGTGTAACAGCAATAATAAAACTACGAACAAAAAATTCAACCAAAGAGAGAAGAGAGGGACTGAGTGGCCAAGAGGGGGCTCTACTTGCCCAACGACGGGAACTGAGCAGTGTCTCCGATCACCGGGGCAGCAGCTTCTCGGTGACTTTGGTTTCCTCCACCTCTCTGTTCACGACCACCACGGCCTCCTCTTCCACGGTTCCCACCTCTCGGGTTGTAGGTCTCTCCCTTAGCAGGCTTCAAGAACTCATTAATGCTCAAGGACTACAAAATCACAGACAAGAGTTGATTAAACACAAAATGATCATAACTAGTGTAACCAATCATTTGGAGACCATAATGTTTTTAATTCTTAAATGTAAATGTCTAATCCGTTCGTGCTTCAACCAAAAACAAAACAGAATGAACTAATTATGGTTGAGAGTGAGAGAAGAAACAATCAAGACCTTTTTAGCCTTCTCAGCAGCATCTTTGCGTTTGTCCTTCTCAGATCCCTGGAAACAATAAGATACAACGGATTAACTAATGCTCCATTACAGCAAATGAAATGAAGAAAACAACAAATATAAGATTTCTGACCAGCTTGACAAAGATTTCTTCCTCGGTATTCTTCTTGTTGGAAAGCTGTTGCATGGACTCAAACACTTTGGTGTCCACTTTCCTTTCCTCGACCTTTGTGGCTTGCAGAGCCTTCTTCTTCTCTTCCAGAATTTTCTCATACTCTTCCAGAGTCATCTCCTATTGACAAAATACAATATGAGTTTTCGAATTAGCAAACATTCTCCTTCAAACATTACTTAGGACTTCATAACATGTTTCAATAGCTGTGAATGATTTTACCTTGTCTTCAGCTTCCTTCTGTGCTTGCTCTGCAGCAGCGGCTTCTTTGCTTGCATCAGTTTCATCCTCACCTCCTTGCTTCTCAGCAGCAGGGCTCTTCTCAACCTCTGTGGTGGCTTCCTCAGTAGCTCTAATATAAGACAAACATTAGGCTTTAAACAGACTAGATTTCAAGGACATATTGAATGAAAAACTATACTAAAGACAAGGATGCTTACGGAGCAATATCATCTTCAGTAGTTCCCCAGTTTCCACGACCACCACCCTCACGTTTCAGATCAGAACTAGCACCATCAAGTAACACAAACATTAGACGTTAAACAAAGCAGTAACCGAAGTAGTGGACAGAACAAAGAGAATGCTTACCCACGACCAGTCCCGCTACGGCGCTCGTAAGTCCTCCTTGGGCGTTCATCACCACCTTCACCATTGGCAAATCCACGGCGACCTCCACGACCACGAACTCCAGCACCAATACCACCACGCCTTGCACCATCAGCATCTTCAGAAGGTCTGAATCCTCCAGAAATTCCATTCTCATTCCCGGGGGCATCATTGTTTCGGTAGTCCCGGTTATATCCACCACCCCTACCACCACGGGCATAACCACCACGTCCACCAGCAGCACCACGGCCTCCTGAAGGGCCATTCCTTGACTCCCTCACTACACATATATAGAAAACACATTTCATTCAATAACTTTCCAAGATATCCATAAAACGAAAACATTCTTACATATATTTTGACTTGTGCGTTAAAGAGAAATCTAAGAAAACAACTTTTCAGATTAACAAAGCAGCAGAGTGAAATTAAAAAACTTCAAATGACAAAAGCAATCTGTATACTACATGACAACAATAACCAACCTAAACTTGAACAAACCAATCAAAACACTCAACAAAACAACACGGATGAATCTAAATTAAGTTCAGTGTCTACATAAAGAGTAAATAAAGGAAAGAACTTTAACCTGCTTGAGTAGGAGGAAGCGGCTTGGTTGGCATCTTAGCGGACTTAGCAGGTTGCACAGCAGGAGCTTTCACGACTTTTTGAGTCAAAGTCGCCGCGAGCTGGCTGGGATCCTCAGCGTCATCTCCTAAGAGATCGAAAGGGTTCATAGACGCCATTTTTATCGGTCTGATAAGATCGAGTTAGGTACAAGTCACCGGAGAAATTGCTTTGCTTTGATGGGTTTATAGTAAAAGACAAATCAGTAATCCATGATTCGATAGTACAGAATCAAAAAGTAGAAGAAGAGAAGTAAACGAAGAGATATGAAGATTCGGACAGTGAGTTTGTGTCTAAGAGAAAATGAACTAAAGCAGACGAAACCCTAAGAGAAGCTGCGGCAGAAGATGTGCGACTTAAAACCTAATCTATAAACCCTTCTTGAGTTATTATCCTCTGCGGATGTTTCTATTTAAATCTACTCTGGTCCTCTACTTTTGTCCGTGGGCTTCATCTAGTTAAGCCCATTAACAATTATAATTAAGGGCTCCGTTAGTTAACTAGGCCCATCAATGACAGCATCTTCGCTCTTATGGAGATGACTCTGTTTAGTAATCAAATAAAAATTCATATTGCATAGTAATAATTTACATATATTTGCCTCAACGTATAATAGCAAAATTTTCAAACTACAAAACACACATACACAAAGTCAAACCAATAACTCATCAACACGTGTCTCTTTCACCAACCTCGCACTTCACCTCCACCTTCTCCGACGTCAGCTTCTATGCTTTTCTCCGACGTTTCAACTTCCCGTTTTCAGACGACGACGAAGAAGACGACGATGTAGAAGAAGAAGATGACGATGAAGATCTCTTAGACGTGATCCGAACCGGGTCAGGTTCACCGGAGTTAACCCTCAACGGAAAATTCAACAAAGCGCGGGAGCCACGCATCCTAAAAGCAGCTCTATCGTAAGCCAAAGCCGCATCCTCCGCCGTCTCAAACGTACCTAACCAAACCCTAGCTCCGTTTTTCGCAGGATCACGTATCTCCGCCGCGAATTTCCCCCACGGTCTCTGTCTCACTCCTCTGTAATGCTTACCCTTCGGCGCCGCCGCCACCGCTTTTTTCGGTTTCTCCGCAACAACCTCTAAACTCTCAGTCGGCTCGACTTTAACCGCCGCCGGGATATCGTAGAGACAGCTCAAGTCGGACGATGACGTGTCGAAATGGAAGGCGTCTTTGATGAGTCCGTAGACCAACATGTCCTCTGAGTCGTTCTCTTTCAACGGCAAATCTCCCCAAGTCTCCGGGAAACAAGAAGAACTCGGGATGGACTCGTTGAGTCGCAGCTCGTTGTCTCCTCCACCTAGCAAGTGACGTCGTATCGTCTCTAACAAATCGTAATCTGATTCTATATCGCACTGTCCGTACATTTTCAAGAACAGCTAAACTATATTAGTCTATAGAGTTGTTTTTTTGTTTGGTCTATCAAATATCTCTAATTTTTGTTTTTTCGTATGTGTTGAAGAGGGTTTATATAGAGGATAGTATACGAGGTTCATGAACCTAGAAAAGTAACAATAAACTTTTACATGTTTTCAATTTTGTAATATTTTTTTTTAGTAGTAGTGGGAAATTAGAAAAATATGAAAGTTGTGTTTTTTTTTTTTCCGTAACACAAGTTTACGAAGGTTCGTGAATTAAAACACGTGCGCTTTATCCATAATAAGAGAGTTTCACGATGAACAAGGGTCAAGTTGACGTCATTGCTCATCATGACATTAATGAGAAGAAGAAAGATGCTGATTTGGTTTTGTTTGTCTCTCAACTTGTCCCTTGTTTTGTCCCTTCGGTTTTGAACTTTAAAGTTCCGGTTTTATTAAGCAAACTACACTAATCAAGTGTTTTATTAGTTTATTATTCGATAAACTAAGGTCTTAATTAATTCCTTAGTCTTTGTTATATTGACATGTATGTTCCCACCAAAACCTAGATTTCTATCGAGTCCATTAAACTAATTTGCTATGGGGGACTAAAATATCATATATACATAATCAAAAGTGCTAAATGTATACTTTATCAGATAGTTGTCATAATTACATATGAAATCTAAGATTAGATCTTGTTGTTATGGTATGGTGGTGAAACAAAAAATCTAACAAGGTGGGTCATACATTATATAGTTTATACGACTGCGACACTTTAGAAATGTCTGCCTGCACAAATCGGGATACATTTCTCCTAGACACCAATTAACAACATCATCTCACTTTTCACCTTTCATTTTGTTACTAATTTCTAATTTAGAATTTTCCTTATTTCCATTTTTGTTTTTATTTTTAAAAAGGAATATAATAAGCCTTAACTAGATCTTTTTTTGCACCAATGATGTGGAATCTTTGAGGATAATTATTGAGTTTCTGTTTTAATATTTTTCTTTCTATCGGCTAAAAGTCAAAATCAAGAAAGGGCTCAAAGACAAGTTAGTGGTGGGTCGCTCATGTCTGTCCACTTGCAAAAGGGACCTCTTTCACGGAAGCATCGTTTAGTCAATAGTCACTCAAAACTGTTTTCGATCTCTTGAGTCGATTCCAAGAGTAGTTTTTAATCACATCATTATGGTGTGATGGGTTCTTTTCAGTTACGCTGAATCTGAGAATATGAATATGATGTGATTATTATGTATGTCAACAACAAGTGATTGTATGTCAACAACAAGTGCTGCCTTCGCTGATCTTCAAACGTATCGATCGTGAGATCAAGAACTCAATCACTGCTAGACAAATCAAAAAGTTTTTCAAAAAGCTTATGAGATTGTGGCTGCACTGATCTGCCGATGACTTTGTGGATTGCTTTGCTTTCTTGTTTTTCCTTTTGCCAAGAAACCAATCTGTTGTATGGTTACATCTTTTTGTAAAGCCAAACTCTTTCATATTTATATGATATTTACAAGTTAACAAAAAAAAAAAACAACAAGTGAATTGTTTGATTTATGATAAAAGTGTTTACACACATCAAACAACGAGTTTTTAAATATTGGTTTTACTTGCATGTAAGTATAATACTATGCGGTTTAAACCATTGTTAACGTAAAATTATCAAAACCACTGAAGAAAAAGACATTAACATAAAATTGCGATAAAGGTTTTGTATTGTATCAAAATCAAAAGTCGACGCATAGATTTTCCATTCTTTCTCAAGTTAACCCATGCATACACGTTAATTTTTTTGAATATGTGACAAACTAAATAAAACTGATTATATATCGTCTGACTTGATTCTTATAACTTATTGATTGCAATTACTTAGTCTATAAAATTTTCAGGTAAGTGATACTCCATGAAATTTAGCAGAGTTCTTGGCCGCAAATTTTAAAATAATATGTTTTTTTTTTGTCTTGTCGTAAAAAGTAATTTATTAGTTAGACCATCACTAATGATGATATTTTAGAAGCAAAATTTACATTAAAAAATATCTTAACTAATGATAATAACATAAGATACTCTCTAATGTAAATTTTGCTTTTAAGATATCACCATTAGTAATGCCTTTTCAAGAAAAAACAACACCTTGTAAAGATATAAATCAAACGCTGACGTACCAGTTGCTTAGGAAATGTTAAATGCTAATTATATATACATGGATGCAATCAAGTTAAGTTCCGTTTTGTTATTAAATACTTTGACTATTGTTTAATTTTCAACAATACATAACATACTTTGATTAGTTAAATATAATTAAATTAATATTGTAGTTGAACTTCTTTTCCATGTTTGAACTCCGCAGCTAAATCCTCATAGTACCACTTGGACGTTTCACATACATCCAATAGTGTGCTTCGGTTCTTTTGTTATATGTTGGGATAGAATACACTTACCGAATTTGCATAAAGATGTAATTCAAGCATGAGAAAACAAGATACGATGGATGATCGATTTGTGGTTTATATTTTCATTCTAGGAAAGCATGTACTGATCCTTATTTGTGCCGATAAAAGGTACATATAAAACATTATGCACTTTTGATTATGTATATATACATTTAGCACTCATAATTGCTGAAAAGAGTTTAGAGCAGTTCTCATCCATTGAAGTCTTTTCAGCTCTAGACTCTAAACTCTTTTGAATTGAACTTACTTATGAGTATACCAAAACAGGTAAGCACAATTTTAAGCTAATGACATAAAAGTGAAATGATTTTAAAAAGGATAAACAAAATACAGTACTATGTGAATTGTGAAGAAGGAAAGGGAGATGCATAATGACACGTCAGCAATTCAAAAGGTTGAAACTGACCAAATTCTAGTCTGGTTTGACTTTTGACCATTTGACTTTTCAAACCTTTCTTCTATTAGTAGCAAACTCAACTCTCGATTCCATACGTGCAAACAATCACGCACGTGCGTTCCCACCGCAATGTTTGAGTTTTCTTCAACAGAAGACGATATATTTTTTTTCTTTATTCTTTGCACATAATGTTAGATGAGAATTCAAAGATTCTTCACAAAATGATAAGTTTTTTTTTTTGGGTTTTAGTAAGATATTCACAATTATTAATGTCAGTTATATCATTTTTTAATGCTAGAGTAGTTGTCACGTTGAAGATTGGTTGGTGAATATAGTTGTTTAATACATCATTTATCGATCAAAAATTCGTATTTTCCATTGAATCTATTTTTCTTGACCTTTGAAAAAATTGTAATGTAGATTTATATGGAAAAAGTAGTTAATCATTTATGTGACGAGAAAATAAGTTGTCCCATAACGAAAGAAGAAAAAACACTAAAACAAACTTGTATGGCATTACTCGATTTAGAGCAACAACTATTATATATTGGAGACCAGGCTGGTTCAAGAAAACGACACGTATAGTTCTTGTTGTTGTCATGATTATTAGCTAGGATGCTAAGAAAGAAAGCTTTGTTACCACAAGATCATTGTTATATTGTTGGCTTAGACGTCAAAAGATGCTGTCCTGATCCGGAACCTGAGAATTATATATAGCCTTAAACTTCATCAAAAATTATTAAGTATACCCTTAATTATAAAAACTAAACTCATAAGGGAACAAACATTACGTACTAATACATCTCTTTTTCTGCAGTCATTGTTTTTATGTTTTATATAGACATCTCTTTGTATGCAGTCTAAGTCATGACTCATGAGAATTGTTATATTTGTTTATGCAAAGGGACAACTTAAATCGATCGGATTACGTCTAACAAAAATGACCATCTTCAATGGGAGGTTTTTAGACAGATCTTACATAAATTTGTGATTTAATTAAATGCAAAATGTAGGTAAATAGGTAAGATACATATCTTATATAAGATACAAAACAATGGTTAAGAGACGCCTACGTGACGTTCTGTGAGTGGATGTTGAGATAAATATAAGAAAAATGATTTTTTTTTTTACCTTTTTTCTTTATTTTCCTTTTCATCATTCTCTTTTAAATCCAAGCTTCCATATTTTATTTTTACACCAATTTCTTATTACCTTACCAAAGACAAACCAAATATTTTAGTTACTGAAGAAAAAAAGAATTCTTATATTTTCTACATAGAAAATGACATCAACAATTGAAAAAGTATTTGGTCGAGCACATATGGCCAAAATATTCTATAAACCACGTTTAAATTAATTGTGCTTTGTGTTTATGTTATTTATGCAATAAATTATATATCATCTATATTTTAAAATTTTTATTTTGTAATAATTATTGTTTTTAATTTTTTAATTTTTTGTTTTATGTTTTAATCCTAAGATCCACTATTTAAGAACCCACCAATAATCCTGCATTAAAACATAAAAACTTAGTTACACTTCTTAATATCACTTTTTCAATTAAATTACTAAACAAATCATAAGATTCATTTTTAATAGCCTAGCATTGAGGATGCTTAAGTGAGCTAATATGGGGTTTTGCTATCCATCGCTCTTAGAGTCTTATAAGACTATCTCCCGTTAGACTATAATAATTCCTTTTGTAAATCTAAACGCGGCCAAGAATTATGGGACAACCCGTTTGAACGACTAGAATTGAGAGAGGGATTGTTACAATGATATATTTTGCAAGAAAGTGATTATAATTTATATTTTGTTTCCTCGTAATGATAACATGGCTTTCTAGAATATAGTGAGTTTCTCGTTGATTCATTCTACAACACAAGTTGATGCACCGCGTAACTTCTTTCACGTGCATGGTCATATGTATTCTTCAAGATATATAGAATTAATTGGAGCAGGTGGTGCAGTGCATATGGAGATCAAGAAAATTTAATACGAAACCAAACATAATTCAATATCGTGATCCATCAATCATTAAAAGGCCGCATGCATTGACTTGACTCATTCAGTCTTTCTGTTTACTAAACCCTTCATCCATATTCCATAATGTATATCAAACTACTCGTAACCGCTAACTTTTCTAAGTTGTGTTTGGTAAGACGTTAATGCTTTACTATATATATCAACTTAGTTTACGTTTTGTGTTAATTTACCACGCCAAACAAATCTTCTAGAAGGCTTTTACGTACAATGTTTGGCTTTTATCATATACTAGCAATTGATCCGCGCTGCGCCCGGGAAGTTTATAATTTTTGTTATTTTTTTATTCATATTATGATATTTTATTTGTTTTTAATTGATTTTCAAAACATATTATAGTTATTTTCTCTTGAATTATTATCTTTCAATATTTAAATTTGGATTAAAAGCATTTTCTTTCTTATCATGTTATAAACTATTATTTCACTTTCAGTTTTATTTTTCCCCTTTAAAATTTTATATATACAATTACATAAATGTTGTTTTTATTCTACAATAAATTTAAAATTTACTTACATTCTTAAACTCAATAACACATTTAAAATTTTAAACTATGATCAATTTAAAATGAAAGTTGAATTATATTATTACAACTAACTAATAAAAAATGAAAGTATTTCTTATTTAACATTTCATTTATTTACATAATTTATTTTTATTTATATAAATTTTCTATTAATTAAATAAGTAGCATAAATATGCACTAAATGAATGTTTTAAATTTATTTTAATGTAAAAAAAATGTGGATTAGGTGACATCATGATAAGAGAGAAAAAACTAATTTTATATATCTATATATATATATATATATATATATATTCCGATGCGAGATTAGCTGGTTGATATTGTCCTTCAACTATATATTACGAATGATCTCTTTTGTGAAATTGGTAAAATTTTGTTTATAACATTAACTGACTGTTGACATCGAATTTGTCTTTTTTTCTGCGTCGATTGACATAATAGTTCTTTATATATATGAACTAGAGAACGTTCGTTTTTTTTTTATTAACTGACGTAACAACCCGTTAACTCATATGAACGCAAAGTGACTAAAAACAAATTAAATTATGGAGGATGATACTATATACAATATTATATTTGTGGAGGATGACTAAAAACAAAAACAAAAATTGTTCCTTGTTTTTTTTTTTGCCAAGGTTCAATTGTATTAGGTTCTATCTCTTTGATAAAGTCTAACTCTTCATATTTATATGATATTAACTGTTTAGCAAGAAAAAGGATGAAATTATATATATGTACATCAAGATTAACTAATACTAGTGATTGACCCGCACGTACGTGCGGAGTTATTTTTACAAAATTACGATTTTTAAGTAGATGCTATTTTGGTAAAATTTTGTTATATGAGTTTATTTGATAAACTATATATAGACATACAGTTGTAAAATATAGATATTGTATTACATAATAAAATTTTAAAATTACAATTTTAAAATTATTTAAATGAAAATGGTAAGTGATATTACGTGTTTATTTTTTAAACTAATCAAAATATT